GAAGGGCTAAGAGCGTGCATCGTTAATGAAAGAAAAGAGAAGAAGAATAAGAATGCTGAGCTTGGCGTTCACTTGGAAAATGGAACCTCAAGCTTAGAAATCAAAAGAAAGGGCGGTTGGGTTTATATACCACAAGCAAATGGTTGGAAAATGGTTATTTCTTGAACTAAGCTTTACTGTCTTGAAAGGAATCTGTTCTTTTCTTGGGTTCTTATTGGCGCTTTTGTCATTCTCATACCTACCCCTCCCTCTCTCTCTCTTAATATATTAAAATTAAACATAAATTATTTTAAACAACATAACACAAAATGATGTCAAATCGAGACACCTATTTCTGATCAAAAGATCATGAGTTCTAATCCTATAAAAAAATTTGAGTAATAGAAAACTGTTCACTATATAAATAATTTATTATTGATATCTTTGCACTGACTATAATATATGAAGATGTTGCTCAAAAAATAAAAGAATAAAAAAAAATATTCACTTACCATCCACCATTGATTAGAAATTCAAATGAGATAAGGTACTTATTAATAAGATTGTAAAACGTCAGGTATAATTTTTTTAAAACACAAAATTAAAAGAAAGATAATTATCAAATTGACATTTACTTTTCACTTTAGAAAATCTCTGCAAACCACCGATAAAATTTTGATAGACAAAGCAGTAATTGCAGGAAAAGAGAGAAGATAAACTGTTTTCTTTCAAGGAAAAAACACATCAAAATCTTAGTGACGGCCAAAGTAAATTCCTGCAGCCTATTGGATATTGGTGACAGCAAAAATAATGATAGCACCAAGAAATCTACCAATCCTCTAATTTATCTTTCTCGGCTAAATATGTAATTTTATTATTAACATATTATCTCCTTCTTTCAATCAAATCAGTAAATGTTTAAAAAATTGATATCGTGAAACATATGAAATTATACATTATTAATATACCTATGAAAATCTAGTTTGAATATATTCTTAACGACAACTATTAATTATAGGTTAATGGTGTGAAGTTGTAGATTTTTTCGTCTCATGGGTGGATGGATGATACATCTAAATAATTGAATTAAAATGTGATTTTATTACAACTTGGTCAACAAAAATATATTTTAAACTAAAATCTCAATCTTATTGAATAAATTTAACCTACGAGAATAATAATTTAATTAACAACATTCAAATCCACGTATAGCTCAACGATGCCTTAAAATTGGAGGTTCGATTCTTCATATCCACATTTGTTGTACTAAAAAAATTTCTAATCCTACGAGAGAATTCAAGTCATACCATATAATATAATATATATATATATATATATATGTATATATATATATAAATGATGAATTTTAATTTGTATAAAACAACAAATAAAATGGAAGATTATGTTTAAAAAATCAACGATGCCTGATTAACTATGTTACAACTTTTAAATTATGAGTAATAACGAAATATTTACATTATATATATATGTATATATATATATATATATATATATATAATAAGCTGTGTATATAAATAAATTGAAGTTTTTTCACAATAAAAAGGACTAAATGAGTATTCTGTATTCATATAATTAAAAAAAAGTATTTATATTTTTATATAAAATAAAAACCATGCAGACTTTATATTATATAATCTATTTATTTTTCAGATTAAATTTAGATTTAAGAGATTGTGGATTGGATAGTAATATCTTCACAGCCATACAAAATATTTGAAATTATTGAACCAAAAAAAGAAATAATAAAATAATAAAAAAAAGGAGTAGCGCGAAATTACACCGCTCAGAAAGCGGAAACACAAATAGAAAGGTCCTCAATGTTCTCTCTTACCCCTATAGTTCACTACTCGCATCTCCTCTTTCTCCCGAAAAGCTCCGGCTTCTTTCCGGCGAGAATTCCGGCGAGTTCATTCACTGTTCGATCATCTTCCAGTCTTCAGGAGGTCGAGAAGTTTTCCGAGTCGTCATCTGAACGGAAGGAGCTGAGCTCGGAGCTATACGCTTCGATTCCGTTGCCTCCGATTAAGACTGCGAAGAGAGTGGTTTTGGTGAGGCATGGGCAGAGCACGTGGAATGCGGAAGGTAGAATTCAAGGAAGCTCCAATTTCTCTGTTCTTACTAAGAAAGGCGAGGCTCAGGCAGAGACCTCCCGCCAAATGCTAATCGATGATGCATTCGATGTCTGCTTCAGCAGGTATCCTATCCTTATAATTTCGCGTCACTTCATAATGATGCAGTGGCGTATATTAACAAAATTTGTTTTAATTTCCGCATATCGTACGACGTTTGCTAATAGTTCAGTACCTGTCTGCGTTTGTTGCATGAATTTACCTAATATTTGTTCATTAACTTAAAATTGGCATTGTTTAGACATGGAATTTATCGACAATGAAGACGTGCAGTTGATTACGCACGCAATGCATATTTTTCACGAAGGAACAAATCAAATCCTGTAGTTTTCACTCTTAGTTTTGTTTGACTGAGATTATTTGTGCTTCCAGTCCCTTAATACGATCAAAGAGGACTGCTGAAATCATATGGGGAGATCGCGAGGAGGCGATAATTACGGATTCTGAACTAAGGGAAATAGATTTGTATTCGTTTCAAGTAATCTCCGCATCATAACCTTCTCCTCTTTGAAAGGGAGGTTTTCCATTTTTACCTGCCCGAATTCGTTAGTTTAAAATTGATATTTCCCTCATTCGTGTTATGATTGCTGTGGTTGGGTGCACTTAGGGTCTTCTCAAATTCGAAGGGAAGGAAAAGTTTGGTGCCGCTTATCGTCAATGGCAGGTAGATGCTGCAAATTTTCAAATTGATGGCCACTATCCAGTAAGGGAGTTGTGGGCTCGTGCTCGAAATAGTTGGAATAAAATTTTAGCCCACGAGAGCAGGTCTGTCCTAGTGGTTGCTCACAATGCTGTCAATCAGGCTCTCGTTGCTACAGCTATGGGTATTATATCGTCTGTTTTAAAGTTATTATTTATTTTTGCACGAATGGCTTGGCGTAGCACCGTAACCGTTACTTACATACTTAGGACTAGGAGCAGAGTACTTCAGGGTTTTACTTCAGAGCAACTGTGGTGTCAGCGTTCTTGATTTCAGTGCCCAAGCTGAGGGTGGCTCTCCAATTATTTGTTTAAACCGTTTAAATCAGGTTTGCGAATTGTTTATTTCAAGAATGGAAAAATTTTGTACCTCCCCCCCATTCGTTTGCATAATTTTTCTTGCTATCTTTTTGACTCAATAAGTTTTTTCTAGGCCAATAATGTTTTGTAGACTAATTTATATTTGCTCTTGTGCGGCATTCTCTACTTCCAACTATATTAACCGAGTTCAAGTTGCTTAATTTTGTTATCAACTTCTATCGGACAATATTTATTCATGCCTTTCTAGAAACACCTTCACCATGCAATAGCTGCTCTCTGCTTTCATGGTGATAAATTCAACAAAATGTTAGCTTATTTAATAGGCTATGGTCTCTTCAATGATGCAGACCCCAAACTCGCCTATTGCTTCTGGTAGTTCTGCAGGGAGAAAAACAGCAAAAAGAATCATACTTGTTTGCCATGGAGTTTCAGAGAATAATGAGGTATGGTACTAATCGACGCATCGTGTTTTCAGCTTTCATCTTATAGTTTGTGCTTGCCAAGTGTAGTTTCACTATATAGCATTTCTAATCCAGAATGTTTGGAAGTAACTGATGGAACATGAACTCAGGAACTTGTGCGGCTTTGAATTGCCAACTTGTGAACAGAAAATTTGAAATATAATTTTGAACTTTATCTTTCTGAATTAGCTGTCATAACCTTGCAGGCCAGTTCTTCCTTCCTGGAGGATAAACCAATGAACATTCTCGGGACTATACAGGTAGAGAATCCGTAACCTTTCACTTGATAGGTTTGGAATTCATATAATTGTATTTTCTGGCTTCACGACAGTCCCAGAAAGTTGCAGAGCTACTTCTTGATCTGAAAGTGAGCACTGTAATTAGCAGTCCCAAGAAAACTTGTGTAGAGACGGCTGCTGCAATCTCCAGGGTATGATTACGTTATCTTCATAGTTCCTGAATCACCACGATTTACCAATGCTCTCTTTTTTTCCTCTCTTCATTTTCCCTGTTCTAGATAGTGTGAAAATAATGCCACATCAGAAACTATGAAGTATTTAACATTAATTAGTAATCCGAATAGACGCTGCAAGACCTTTTAGACAGAATATAGGAACAGATTGATGGAAAAAGATTATGCTCATTTGGGTTGAAGCCATTGTTCGTTCCAGTCCTGTATGATTACAGCAACCTATTCTTCTTATGCCCTTCTAGGCATCTTGTGTTTTCCAGAAAAGCATTCTATATTTTATATTGAAATGGAGTTAAGTTGTATCCTCACAGTTCAACAGGATATCCTTTAAGAATATTTTTGTTGGATTAAGCTGAAGACATTAGGGGTACCATAGTAAAATCCCGGAGTAATCTTTTATAAATTAATGTGCCACCATACTCTTCATATGCTCTTCTTCTTGGCCTATTCTATCCCAAGAATTCTTGAGTTTTTTTTTGAAATCTTGGTTAGTTTGTCTTATCACCTAAGAATTTAAAAGCATGAAACTCTTGCATAGAATGAGCATCATGGGATAAAGCAAGGGTAGACTAATTACCATCGACTGATTTTATTCTACCTATCTTGATCTAGCTAGCTTATGCATACCTATGTCAAAAAGATTGGACAAGTTGAAAAACATTGAAACTCTAAATTCTCTTGAGATGGTAAAAAGTCATTTTTAATAGACACGGCTGATTTGTTGTAGGTTCAAGAAGCCGCAGATTGCTTGGGTGCTGATTGCGTGCCCCGCTATGTGGAGATGAAGCAGACGAATAAACTTGATATAGAAAATATTCCCGATCATTTCAAGCAGGTAAGATGTCTGGCCATGGAATATTAGATTCGAAGTAATATCTTTAAGGTTTTTTATTTCCTTTTTGAGTTGATTAATTGTGGGGTGGGCAATCAAACCATTGACCTTAGGGATGCTAATAAATGCCTTATCCACTTACCTATGCTTAGATAGACAATATCCTTGTTATCCATGCCATAACTAGGTTGATGAAAAAGTTGCTTATTTAGACAAATTTGAAAAAGCCTTTCTTCAAGTTTCATTTATCTTGTTTGGATTTTACCCGAGTAGGGGGGTTTTAACTTAAGAATTGGATTAATATCTGTGACAAAAGAGTTTATATTGGTTTACTGCAGGGGTCATAGACGAAGCATCAAACTTATAACTTTACTATTTGATCCAATACTTGAATTTTCCATTCTAACATCTCTCCTTTTTATTCCACAGGATGTGGCTAACACCAATGTCTTTGAACCTGGTTGGTTAAACAATTTGGACGATGGGTTGATTACAGCAGTGTGGAATCAGAGTGGTGAAGCCTGGAAGTTTCTTTTGAGTGAGATGGCTGATGAAAATGAGCTGGAAAAGATTGCTGTAGTGGTTGGTCATCCTGCCGTTCTTCTAGGATTGGTGGGGCAGTGCCTAAATCTCACAAAAGACTGGATTGGATCATTCCATCTGGATGCTGGAAGCATTAGTGTGCTTGACTTCCCTGATGGGCCAAGTGGCCGAGGTGTTGTCCGATGCATAAATTACACTGCTCATCTGGGGAGATGGTCAATTCCTATTACTAGACCAACTGTGGATGATGAAGAATTTTAACGGTAAATGCAGTTTTACTCTTGAAATTTACAATTCACTTGTACAGTATGATAAAATACTCTTTAATTCAAAGAAAAGAAAACAGATATAAGACACAAGGCTGTCATTCTTGTGCTTCATTTTGAATGCATCAATATCCTGGTTTCTTTCTAGAAACTAAAAGTTGTTTTATAACGATCTTGTCTTCTTGTAATCCTGTTATGTTTTTTTTTTTTTTTGTTGAAATGTTATGTCTCTATGTTGGCGAAGAAGTTTAATTTTAAATAATCATTATAGAGCGAAGTCCTAATTACACTGATGGAAATAATTATATACATATTATTTTTCCATATAACAGTAAAAAGAAAAATTACATTTGAAGAACAAACTTGATGTAGGTGATTGACAGAAAACACCTTAAGGAACTCAAGCTTCTGTAGAACTCGCCTGTACATCTCTGGAGCATATTGATGGTTGAAAATTGAAAATGTCAATGCAAGGAAATCTATGGTTTGAGAGAGGAACTTTTCACAAAAAGGCGTTGAATAAAAGGAGAGAATGTATGGTCAGTAATAAAGTTTGTTGTTTTATTAGTTTGTCAGTTACAATTGTATATGATATTTTTATTTGAATTGTACTTGGGCTGTAGGTTTTCGACCAATTATTATAAACATCAGAAATTGTGGAAAATGGGCCATCGATTTTTTCTTCTAATAATTTTGTATCTAGTTGGGCTGTCTTCTTGGACCACAGGTTTCTTTGGCATTTGCATCTAATTGGGCTAGCTTCTAACAAGGCTATAAATTGTTAAGCCCAGCATATGCTAGCAATTTCCCTGGACAAGCTGATTGGTGAAGACTATGATATGAGTACGACGTGTCGGTTTTATCAAGTTCGATAATTTTACATGCTGAAGATGGCTGTGATTTTTTTTTAAACAGGAAAATGATGGCTTCAAGTTCATCGGTGGGAAGAGATCGACATCTCTGCTCGTGATGTGCAGCGGATCCGGATTCATATCACAAATCATTGATCCAACGGTACACATCTATCCCATTCCCAATTCAGCAAATTCTAATTACAGAAACAAAAGACATGGATCACTTTTGTGGGAAAACTAACAGCAGTAGCATTATAAAAATACTCATTTCATCAACGGGTGGTTTTAACTTTTAGATGTCCAACACAAAGAGGCATTAATATTTCAAGCTGGTGGAGGTGGCTTGGCAACAATAGCTGGGAAATCAAGCAGCACAATCTTGTCAATGGCTGCCGARAAAGTTGCAGAGAATTCAATATGCTTGGGATGCCCCACAAACGCAGCATGAGCTTCCTTGTTCTCGAATGTCATCAAGAAGGCATGCGTGAATCCCTGTGTAAGCATCTCTGGCCCCTCCATATCCTGCCCCCTGTTTACACCTTTAAGAATTCAGCTTTCTTCTTGCCTTTCTTTATAAAATTGTAGGCAAATAAAATCATTATTACCCACTAAATTAAATTTGACCCTAAACTTGGGTAGATCTCCAAAATTAAACCAGAAAATTCTTTCTAAACCAATTAATAAATGGGCCATTGATGGGACACTTGTTCCTCCCTCTATTCGTTTTAGATTAAAAAAAATTATACAAAGCAGTTAAGAATTTGAAGTTCTATTTCTAATCTATTTGCTCCCGCTATAAAAGGTAAGATTTTATCCCTCCAATATGCCTGAAAAAAGACCTTCAAACCAGCAACATAGTATCCAAAAACTACCAAAAAAATCCATAGCCACCAAATCACAAGACTACCCATTGCTAGTAACAACTTATTTTTAGAAAATAAGTAATTGATTTAAGTTGTTAAGGTTGGGTCAAAAGGGAATGATCGGATAAAAAAGTGAACTTTTCCCTAAGAGTTCCGGAGATTCCAATCTTTAACAATGGTGGCGAGGGTTACCATTCAAAGGATTTGACAGCTTCGATCTCAGAGACGAGGTTCTCCATGCCCTTGAGAATCCCGTCCACCGCCGCTCCTTCCTTAAACTTGACGAGCACCAAGTGCTTGAACTCTCCACCCATGGCTGCTCCACCCTTGAACTCAGAGGCCCCTCCCTCTTTATATAACAAAGGAAATCCACATGATCAAACTCAGACTCATACATTAGATTGGATGTCACTGTCTCTGTGCACCGACACAGCTCACGTGTCATTTATTTTCTCTGCTGACTCAAATACTATAAAAGAATTGTTGTTCCCTATCTTCCTCGACAGCATCTCTTGCTCGATATCTGAAAAGGTACATCTTCAGATAAGATTTAGACCCCACTACTTCCACCTCCACTTGTTTGGATCCATTTTTTTACGATAATATATTTCTTTTTTTGGTTGAAATTGATTTTTGGGCATCATATATATCCGCCCAGCCTATCTGTCCGTTATGATTGTCCATGGTTGAAATGAAACAACTCTTAGAGGAAAATCACATGACTACCAATGTAGCAATTGAGTCACCGTACTGTTTAGACAACAAGATTAGCCATAACATGTGCCTCTACTCATTCCTACTTTATTAATTTATTTTTTTTATATCCGAAAATGTGTGGGGTAGTTTACGTGTAACTCAACTAATTTCATGGAGTAGTCTTGGCCCTACAACATTTGGTGTCGAAAAACACATAGAATTAATTTTTAAGGTAGGTGTCCATCGTGGGGTTTAAACTCATTCTCTCAATGGGAGGTCAAGACTAGGAGCGTGGATCCAATGTAGGTAACAGGCCAAGAGTTATTTGGAGGCATTGTGTGGTGGTAGCTGTGGTTTTGCACATGAATAGGTTGGTATTGAGTGGAAAGATTTTATTGCTTTTTTGGAATTTGAGAGGTCTGCTTCTTGATTCACATTCACATGGCACAAAATTTTCCTTACTTTTTCTCTCTGTCACTACCATGTGAGCACATCCTTTTTGTCCATTACCCTTTATTTCAGTGGAAAAATGTATTTTTCTGCAAATCTTTAGAATCCATATGTGGAGAAAATGATGAGCTAAGTTAAATGTTAAATGTTCCCATCTGGCTTGGCCTTTGCCTCATATTATATTCCTCCTAACAATGAACATGAAAATCTAATTTAAGATTTTATGGTTTCAGAATGAACTAATTCTTAGAGTTGGGGTTATGAATATAGCGCCTCAACCTTCGGAAGTGTATTAGATTCCTTAGCTTTCAATATCGTGGGTAATAGGTTCTTAAACTTAAAAGTGTAGTCCTTAGACTTTTAGTTTTTTCTAATAGGTTCTTGAACTTTAAAAATGTCTCATAAATCAATCATCTATTAGATACAGAATTACAATATAAGATACTTTAATAAACAATGTAAAAAATTTAAGAATAAATTGGACACTTTTTAAAGCTTAAAGACTTATTAAATATAGTATAAGAACTACATGTTACGAGTTTGATTCCCCACCTCACATGTTGTACTAAAAAAATTTAATTTTTTTTTTCTTTTTAAATTATTGTGGGAATTTGGAAAGTATTATAAAAACAATAAACAAGCCACCCAATATATTTACGAGTTATTATTATTGCATAGTAATAAAAAAACATACAGTGCTATATTTGTAAAATATCAAAAGTAATGTCTGGTGGGTTCTTTGAATCTTTGATATGTTCTTGGTACTAAATGCATTTTGATAATTGAATTGTTCTATTTGGTATCTCAATAATTTTTCACTTTATCGAAAATCTTTGGAGAAAGTTCTTCAATGAAGTGCCATCCTATGTAAAGAGATATCACATTTTCATTTAGACAAAGTCATGACCATGTTTGAGGGAAAATTTTCTTACACAAATGATTTATTGTTTGTCATAGTGCATTTGTTGATCATGAAGTATAATAATATACACTTGATAACGTGTCAAATTATGAATAAAAAAAATTAAATATACTAGCAAACTATCCTACCTTAATTTATATTCATGACCAAAATGTTGGAGGACGAAGCCTACTACACACATTGTCGAACTCGATAAAAGAAAAAAAAAAGAAGAAGAAAAAGAGCACATACTAGTAGTAATACTCAAAAATTTTATGAGACAATTGATGTAAATTAAATTCCAATTGAATTCCTAATGTCTATATATTTTACAAGAAAGTCTCTAGAATTGTAACAAGTTTATATTCATATTATATAATTGAAATATTTTGAAAAAAGAGTTTATAGAAGTCTGAACTATGCAATTGATTTATTCATATTACTATTTGTAAAGGTAAACAAGTTGTCAAATTTTAGAGAAATTTATTCATATTACCATCTGAACTTTTTCTTGAGAGATTTAAAATTGACAAACTTGATTCATGATAAAACAAATTCATAAATTAATCATAAATTTGGCTAATAGTCACCTCGGAGTTTTAATGTTTTTTTTTTTCCAGATATTGTGATGCGTGCATTATTATCAGTTTTAAATCCCCATTATTCTTGTGCCGTCAGATTCTTTGCAACTCCCAATAATTACAATAATTTGAATAATATATTGCACGTTGATTACTAAAATCAACGATCTGGATTAAAATACATTGTTGAGGCAAGTTTCGAAATGTCGATATCGATAGAAATATTGAAGTTTCGATGTTACGAATATGTTGATGGACATGACGATGTCGACGGATATTTCGAGAAAAATCACGAAAATTGGGAAATTGTTTTAATTTAGTAAATAAATTTTTATAAGTAACTTAATTAGGCTATAATTAATCACTTTGAACCATCATAGGTAAAATATGAGTAACTTAGCCTATGAAAATGTCGAAACAAGATAATGAAGATTGAGAAAATGATTTGATCTATATAAAAGATGAAATAATCATAAAAAATTGGAAAATAAAATTTTATCGTAAAGTGGTGGTCATATATGAAATAGAACGAGTAATTTAATTAATATCAAAAAGATGACATTGGAAGATCTAGTGCTTATCTAGATCATTTTGATGTAAATTATAATAGTCATCCCAAGTCATTATAGAATGAAAATTATGAAGGTGACCACATATGGATTCTATCGGTGAAAATTAAATTTTGAATCAAGCATTTGGTTGAGGATGACTATATTGAAAATTGTTTAAATTTAAATTATAAAAGAAAAGTAGGTAAAAAATAAAAAGTTAAAAATATTTTGAGTGAATGACAAATATGTTTTGAAAATTAAGTAAATTTCATTGCAACGTTTAATTGATAATGGATTTAGAAATAGGTTTGAAAATAGTTTATATTTAAATTTGTAAATAAAAATAGGTAATTAGTAATAAAAAATATATTAAATTTAAAATTTAAGGTTTAAGAAATAAAAAAGATTAAGAAGATTCAAATTTGCAAAAGAAACGATTCTCTTATAAATATTGGTTTTTGTTACATAAATTTAAAAAAAAAAAGAAGGAAAATAAGTGAGGGAGAGTAGATACTGCCCGTAAAATTGGGACTTTGTTCTAAATTTAAGCCCGACATCCGATAAAAATCTTTTGACATCCACAATATTTCAGCAAAATCTGAAAATTTCGATAAAAAATCATAACTAAGGAAGATGGATGATTTCGGCACAAATTTCTATTTGATCTTTCAATTTTAAAAGGCGGCAATTTGATCTTTAATTTTTATAAAATGATTCTAAAAGTGTATGAAGTCAAACTTTCGTGAGAGTGTTGTCGAACTCACAACCTAAGTTACAGATATATGTCAATTACCACCGAACTATATTCACAAGATACTTGTATCAGATTAAGAGTAAGTTTGAATTCACACTTCCACATGTTGTATTTAAAAAAAAAATTGCAAATTAAAAACTATTTATTTATCTACCATTTTGAGACACGTAAATTTGGTTTAGCATTTACTAAATTACTTTGTTGATGGCAATGAACAATCTAATAGGTAAACAAATGGTTTGTCAGTTTGTTACTGTTATTTATATATTTTTGAGCTCTCCAACATGCTGTAGCTTCAAATCTATACCATCTACGTACAATGCAATATTAAAAGAAAAACGATATGCCACTGTTAATAATGGATTTATTCGTTCTAAATAATATGAACAATATCAATATTTTATACTTGAACATGGCAATTTAGGTCAATTAAAAGTTAATAGTGGAATTATAAATTTAATTCATTGCATCTATTTATTTCTTAAATCGTAAAAAGCTTTAATCAACTCATTTTAACATTTCCTTTATTGTTTCTCGTTTTCAATTTTGTTATGAAATTTAAGTAATTTTCAACTAATTTTGTTTTTCTTGTTTCCCCTTTTTAGAACATTCTTCTCACAAATTGTATAGAAGCTTTGGAAACAACCAAAACTAATTTCTCTTCTTGTTCACATTTCTAATTTGTTCCAAAACATAAATAAAATAATTGTTTTATCATATTTGAATTCTTAGAGGTTGAAACCATACAATACATTTTTCTTCATTAAAAATAAAGAAACATAAGTAAGAAATATGAACGTTACAAGCCATAAATTAACAAAATACATTTTAAATCGATTAAATAAATTAAATATTTTTAAAATTATAGGACAAAAAATAAATATATTAAATGTTGAAGACTAAAATTATATATATATATATATTTTTTTTCTTTTAAATATTCCGGAAAACTTGGTAACTAAAAATATATTTATCTTTATTATTTTTTTTAATATAATACGTAATAAGGAATGAAGATTTATTTTGTATTTATCTCTACTTTACTAGAATGTATGTATTTTAAAAGTTTTAGACACTTCAACAAAATTTAAAATATCAATGTCAATACAAATATCGAAAGTTAAATTCGATGAAAATGTTTTTTCGGAAGAATTATAAAATAAAAAATTTAAACAAAGATTTAAATTAACAAATAAAAATTTCACAAATTCTAAAACATCATAAATTATCAATATTAATAACATGTCTATATCAATGATGCTTTTATCTTTTATCAAATGTTTTATCAAATGTTTTATGATTTTATGTAAATATCGAACTCTCATACTCGTATAAAAATATCAGACACATAATTTAATATCTAAATAAAAATGGTTTATTTCCAATTTCCAACTCGACACATATAAAAATAAAAATTTAAATTAACAAATAATAATTTCACAACTTTTATATTGTAGCAAAATTTCTCGAGCCGGGCAAGATATCTGTTGTACGTGCCGCAAACTCGTGCAAATTCTACTAGCTGCGTGTTTCGTTGCCCTTGGAACCCAGCCACTCAAGTTCCGCCACCTCACCCGTCATCGTGCACCGTCACGCACTTGACCACTGCCCGACTGTTGCGTAACCAATAATCCACAATTCCGCAACCTTCAAAATATCATTTCATAAGAAACACTTCGCTACGCACTCCATTCTTCTTCTTCTTCAATGGCGACCCTATAGAACTTTGCAGTCGTTTCTCCTCTCGCAGCCGCACTCCTTTATAGAACTTCTTTTTTCCTTTCTTATTTTCAAAGAAAATTTATCGCTGCGTCGTGTTCTCTTTTGGTCGTTTCTTCTTCGGTTATTTTTTTTTTCTCTAATCTTGTTTTTTCTTTGTTTTCTCTGCGTCGTTTTTTTCTAGGTTTGATTTGACCTCAGTGTTTCAGGAATTTTTGATCGTTTTTTGTTTTTGGTGAGTGAAAAACGCGATGAGCTGGAGAGAAAGGAGTAAAGATGATAGGTCTCGGTCTCGGTCTCCGTCGCTTCGACGAAGAAATTCAGAACCTCGGGTTGAGGAAAACCGGCACTGTCATTCTCACTGGTTTTCGGGCTCTGCACAAGAAGGACCGGTGACGAATGGCCCTGCGCTTCCGGGTTATTCTGTGAGAGACCATTTTAATGAAACTCGTCTTTATGAGAATAGAGACGAACATTTTCGTAAACTCTCTCAGTTTTGCGAGAGTTTGGAGCGGAGGGAATCGCCGGCGAAAAAGTTTGGGTGGGAAAGTTTGTTCGCCAAAAATCCCGCCAATGCGAGTTCGAAATCGAGTTTGGGGTTGAAACATGTAAACGGATGTGATGGTGATAATCAAGGACTTAGGGTTTACGGTTCTCATTTGATTCCGGAATCGTCGTCAGAAGCTAATGATTTACGCACATTCCATACGAACATTAGAGCAACTAATGATAGTAATGTAATGGATGGGAATGCTTCCAGAAGTTTTGGAGTCAATGACTGTAGTCATTTGTCTTCATCTAGAAAGTTTGATGGGCCCGTATACGAGACCACTGATGTTTATATTCAGGACCATTCACCGTATGAATCAGCAAGAAATTCCCACTCCCACAGAGGAAAACAAAAGGGAACTTCCTCACATGGGACACAAGGGTCACATCCGCACTCCAGTGCACGTGTTACTGAATCTAAAGGCATTTCGCAAGATGAATTTCATGGTTTTTATGAGAGCCGTCTACCTCCAACTTCTCTGGGTTCCACTTGGAAGAAAGAAACGCTTAGAGAACCAGTTGAAACTGAACTGAGTATGGAAGGGTTTCTGGAGTATAAACGTGCTCGTGGGGAACATATCGAGCACTTCGATGATTGCAATAAGTATTTTAAAGCTCAACCATGCAAGAGGAGTGACATCGGTGCTGCTCTCAACAGTTCTTTGTCTCAGCAGATGGTCCGTATCCCACAAGACGATTTCTATCAAGACTGTACTCGGACCAGTGTTATAGTGGATCCAGTTGTCGAGGGATTTGAAGACACTGAAAGCTATGTCATGGGTGATATGGAAGAGAACCGGCCAAGCGACAACTATGGTTTTTTCAAAGAACCACACATCATTGAAGGTTCTTATAGGGGAAACGGTCCTTTTGCCATGGAACAGGATGATGAAGTTTTGGGTTCTGGAACCGGGAGTCTGCTGAAGTGTGAAAAAGAAGCATATACAGGCAGTGAGAAGTTGCTCTTGGCAGAAGATGGTTATAATACAAATTATGGGAAATGGTCGGGTGATGATGGATTAAATGGATCCTTAAGTTTCAAGAAATAAACAAGATTTGGGTGGCATGGAAATGGAAGACAGTAGGAAGCTGAGATGGAAAGCCTCGCATTCAACAAAACGAAGGGTCAAGGGGAAATGCTTTGTATCTTCAAGATGCGGAATGCATTATCGTGGGTCCGATTCATCTAAAAAACGTAACGTGTTTAGCAGAATCCATTTTTTAGGTAATGGAGATGAAAAGAGTACTGTTAAACACATTGATATCAATTTAAAACGTAGAAACGAGTTGTGGAATGATGAGGATACTTCCATGTCCTTAACCTCCTCCAAACGGCTGTTGCCTTGGATAATAAACCGTGGCTCTCAGCGTCTGAAGTCTAAACGCAAAGACCTTAAGAAACGTTTGGGTGTCTCCTTGAGGGATCCCAGTTTAAATCCTCTAGTTAGAGAACGTAAAAGAAATAAGCGTCTGATAAACACAAATATCAGTCATGAGTGCCTTGATTTTCAAGCAAGTGATTGCTTTGAAGACAAGACGCAAAGTTCAACCAATAGGCCACCTGAAGATCCTGAGGAGTTGAACCAGCTAATAAAGAGTGCCTTTTTCAAGTTTATCAAAGTTCTGAATGAGAACCTAGCCCGACGAAAGAAGTTCACAGAGCCAGGGTCTGGTATTATAAAGTGCATTGTCTGCGGCAGGTGCGTTTTCTCCAATTTTCCATGTTTTACCACCATTGCTTTTGATTCCCGTATTCTTATTAGAAGTCGTATTTTAGCCTGATTGTCATTTAGGGCGAGTTCGGTAAGGGTGGAAGATTCTTTTAGTCTATTAAAGACACTTGATGTTTCTTGGGTATGGGAAAGGCGGGTGCGGGTTCCTAGGTATAGGGGAGCAAAGCTCCAAATAATAATAATAAAAAAAATAAAAACACTTCAAAATTTTCATGGTGTTTGGTTACGTAGTGATATTGAAAATTCTTAAAACATTTCAAATACTTCAATGTTTCTTGAGGAAACACTTAATTCTTTTAAATTTATAAGTATTAAGAGAGAGTGATCCCAAAAGTGTTGTTTTAATGTTTCTACTATCAAAAATAACATGGACTCTTTTTTAGTATCTTTCTCAAGGTTAAAAGTGTTGAAGATGACTGTCTCACTGATTTTATGTGCTATAATATGTTTGTCTGATCCATTATATCCTTCTTGTGGCAAATAAATGGAAAATGCTTTTGATCCCTTGTAAGTAGAAGTATCATTAGAGGCCTAGCATATATGAATAAAATACAGGATTGTTAACCGGTTTGACTGGATAGAGACAGACAATATACATAGTGGATTCTTTTAGAAACATTTTCTATGATTGTGAACTGATATAGGCTTGAACTTGGGAGATTCCTTGTATGCAACTGCCATTTCCAATTTTCCATACTTCTCTCTTCATAGTTATTGATGGAAGCTTCGTCTTAAAATGCAATTGACGGGGCTGTGTGTAGCAGTTTTAGGCACTTGCACGTCTTGGAATCAGTCTTCCATTTGCTTCGAATGATCAGTGGAAGAGATGTCTTTGTTTTGATTTTCAATTGAGAAATCATAGTGATTCAGAACATGGTAAGAGGAAAATAGAGAAGAGGAGTGTAATGCAAGCTTAAAAATTTGTTGCAATCAGTACTCTAGTTTGAATTTTACTCTGTAGGAAGGGTTCTATCATTAAAAAGTTCTTTGCCTTCTTGCTTCCCTCAACCCTCCCTTGTCATTTCGTGCTCGTATTGTTCTCTTTCTATCTTCTTAAAAAGATATTTACTGAAGTTCGACATATGCTCTAGTGTACAATCTCTTCATATAAGTTTGTAACAAGCTGTGAATAATTTGACACTCGTTACTATATATTCTGGTATGTAAGACTTTTTCCATGGGAACCTACTTCTAGCCAGGCAAAACCTGTCTCTTGCTGCGAATGTTTCAGGTTTCTGTATATTATTGCTGCTTAATTTACTTGCATTTTTATCAGCAAGTCCAAGGAGTTTGCGGATGCACTAAGCTTATCACAACATGCCTTCAATTCGCTGGTAGGATCGAGGGCGGAACACTTGGGTCTTCACAAAGCACTTTGTTGGCTCATGGGATGGAGCAGTGAAGTAGCGCCAAATGGTCTATGGGTTCAAAGGATATTGCCCCATGTAGAAGCCTTTGCTTTGAAGGAGGATCTCATTATATGGCCTCCTGTTCTTATCATTCATAACAGTTCTATTGCAACTGATAATACGTCTGAACAGGTAACCATAAGTTGTGAAGAGCTCGAGGTTGTTATTAGAGGTAAACCTTGTTTTTGCAGTAAATGTGAATTTTCTGGCTTTTACGATTTCTTTTCCCCAAGTTGCATTGGATGGCACATTATTCAAGTCCTTTTTTTAAGTTAACTATGATATGTCGTGATATAAAGGCGTTTTCAAAATCTACTTTAAAAGGTGGTCCTTTGATTGTTTTTATGTTGTCCAAACTGGAGTCAAATTATATATTCTTTTCTTTGAGATAATTACAGATCACACCTTCGTGACTTGCCTATTTTTCCATTTATATTCTTGTATTGAAATAGTTTTAGATTGTACAATTCTAATGAATATTGTTGTTGATTTTAATAGGATTGGTAGGTTCTAGGTATGTTTTGTGTGTACCTACTTCACTTAAGTTGGCTCACATAAGCGTTTGATTTGCAAATTTATGAATTATAGGGGTGTGTTTACAATTATTTTTTAGATTAAGGGGCAACTTGCAAAATATGCAAACTATAAGCATGTAATTTGCAACTTTTTCCTATTGCTTTTCAGTTAATATAGTGTCCTATTGGACCAGGCTTTGCCAACTTTTATGAATTATGCATGTGTAACTTTGTCGACTGTCTGAAGTTTGCTACTTGACAGAATCTTTATTGTTCAGTTGTACCTTTTGGTTTCACCTTAGTTTAGTTTTCTCCAAAACAAATTAGCAGGAATGGGTTCCGGAGGGAAGATCAAAGTGGTTCGTGGTAAACCTGCAAATCAGAGCATTATGGTAGTAACTTTCTGTGCAATGTTTTCTGGATTGCAAGAAGCAGAAAGACTACACAAAAACTTTGCCGATAAAAGTCATGGGAGGGATGAGTTCCATGAAATCAATTCGAGTCATCGCATTGACAGCCATGGGGATTTGCATAAAGCAGGAGCAAACAAGATGGAAAGCGTTCTTTATGGCTACTTAGGCCTCGCAGAGGACTTCGAAAAACTTGACTTTGAGACCAAGAAGAGGTCCGTGGTGAAAAGCAAGAAAGAAATCCAGGCCATTGTGGATGCAACTCTTCAATGTTAGTGTTTACCAACTAAACGAGAGGTTTATGTATTCTTCTTGTTTGTATAGATTGTCTCTAGTGTTGGGTTTGGTTAAGGCATCCGAACCTACGACCATTGTCTTAGTTTAGTATTTTGGGTCAACAGAACTGGTTTTTTGTGACGGGGGAATTTTTTGGTAGGGACTCACATCTCAGGCAAATTTGATGTGTTGTTAAGGGCTTGGTAGCAGTAAGTTGTCTAGGTTTAAGTTTTAGGAAAAGAATGTTCATTGGCTTTGCCACTCTTGAATTGAGATTCTACATTGCTAATTGTGCACAAAATTAGCCCATGTATGGTTGAATTATTGAAACTTGCTTCTGTTTCAACTTCACTGTATTACTGCTCATGGTTTATATTATATGACACTTCATACTGACTCTCCACAATAAGCCAAGGTAACAAGGCCTTGTGAAACATTTTCAGCGAACATTATCCGAATATATGCTGCAATTGAACCCATTGCTTAATGGCTGGGTAATTGAGTTTCTCATCTCCGTTGAAAGTTGAGGAATCTGATGCCATAAGCGAAAACGAAGAAGAAAAGAAGAACCCAACCGAGGTGGCCGATGACGAGCGGGATTAGGAAGTCATGATCAAAACCCAAGTTTTTCTTGAGGAATTCATTTACTGCAATTGGATCTGAACCAGGAATCTCAACCAAGTTGGTTTTGTCTCCAATTTGTGATGCAAAAAGGCCATAGATAGTCCACGCAACTGGGGATGCCCAGTAATACCACCTCCACCATACAGGGATCAGCTGCAGCAATTCAAATGGTTAGACTTTCATCAATGAAAATGCCCTTTCACTTCTTTAATCCATATACATTCATAAAACAATTTTCTAGATTGTTTTCACGATGAACTTTAAGTTCCCTGAGAAACGTCTAACGAGTGCTTGGCTCGAGTTAGGTCCACGTATTATGGATTGAGAAGCCAAGTCTATGTTTATTATGCATGTTTACTTGGCTAATTCGTAAACTATACAAATTACGAACTTGCAAACCAAATATCTCTTGATTGGACCTTGGTTAGACTTCTCATGCATGAAAGCGAAAAAAAAGAAGATGAGAGTTTGAAATCACGAACCAGCCTGGGGATGAGGAAACCAGCGAACAATTTCCATGAGGTGAAGAAGAATGGCATAATAATTGCAGCAATTTGAGGGTTAGGAGTGAGGGCAGCAACCATCATCCCAAACATAGAAAAGTAAGTGAAGCACATGAACATGAAGTAGTAGAAGTAGAAGAACTTGCTTGCCTCCCACTCGAACCCGACCATCGAGTATAGAAGCAGTGTGTAGATGATAGTTCGAATAGCAACATATATTGTCTCAATGGCCACCTGCAGAGCAACTTATTCTATTTCTCATCACTATAAGAAGGAAAATATGATTTTTAGGGATGAAATTTGATATGTCTTCTTACCTGAGCAATGGCGTATGGCAACTCCGAATACATCCCTGCAGCTCTTTCACGATAGAACACCGTCCTCTCGATTAAGATGACGGATTGTACAGCCGTGGCACTGGTAGCTCCAAGGAAGAGAACTGCGGAGTATGTGGCTCCTAAAAGATTCATGAGGTCTTGTTGTTTCTCTCTGTCATCAAAAAGAGGATTAAGTTGGAACTTTTCTGTTTGCTTTGAATCAAGAACTGGAAATGGTACTTGGAGAAGTGAACAAGTTGTGGTATTGGTACTCATATAAACATCAGAAAAGTGGTTTAAGATCAAGAACTTTAGACTTACATTTTGTTTCCTTTACCCAAGAAGATTATACCGAATAGAATACCAATAACAATGGTCAAGAAGAATTGGATCGCATTGTACCGTGAGTTCCTCCAGTACGACCAATGTTGTTTCCAGAAGCAAGCCTTGCACTGATTTATGGAGCCTTGGGAGTATTTAGAAGGGAAATAAAGATCCTTGGAGCCTGTTTGTGGAGTGCTTAGTTCTTTTATGAGACTCTGATTTCTCCTAAGGAATGAAGGGAAAATTTAGCCCAAAAAGAGAACCAATTCATAGACTTACTAGACCAGAAGAAATTTCAAATGGAAAATGGGTTGCGGTATCATTTTACTCACTGGTAAAGGTCAGAGTTCTCATAAATTTCTGCAAAATCGACATCGAGTTGAGTCTCGACAGCAGTGGAACTCACCTCAAGCATCCAAGTAGCAGGATTGTAGCCCTCTTTAATTTTGGGAACCACTTGAATAGCCTGCAAAAGTATTTAGATTTTCATGTGGGATTGTGCTAAATGTGAATGTAAATGTCGAGCTATCGAGTGTATGAAGATAGTTGGAAGAATGACCTCAAAGTATTCGACTAATAAGTGCGAATGGCGACCGAGCCGTCCTGCGTAAATCACCTGTCCTCCCCTTTTCATTAGCAAGAGCTTCAAGTGACAGCAACAGAAAATCATCTTATGAAGATCACACCTTGAAGGTTTGAAATGCTATACTGATGATCTAAAATACCTCATCAAAAGCTTCAAAGATGTCGATACTTGGCTGGTGAATTGTGCAGACAACCGTTCGTCCCGTGTCAACGGTGTTCCTTACCATGCGCATTACAATTGCAGCAGCTCTTGCATCTAGACCTGATGTTGGCTCATCCATAAAGATGATAGAAGGATTGGCAACCAACTCAACAGCAATCGTCAGCCTCTTTCTTTGTTCCGTTGAGAGACCGTCCACACCGGGAAGTCCAACCAGAGCATTTCTCAATGGATTTAGCTCAACCAACTCCATCACTTCATCAACAAACATCTATATGGATCATCAATATTATTGTCAGTAATATCATCCATCTGTTTCATTTTCTCAAAGCATTTTGGTATCTAGTGGCATAGGTAAGAATCATGCCTTTCGTGTTTCGGTTTTTACATCTGAGGCGAGACGCAGCCAGGCAGAGTATAGTAAGGACTCGTATACTGTGATATATGGCGAATGAATGTCATTCTGTTCACAATAGCCGCTAACCGGAGCAAATGTAGATTGGTTCTTTGGGTAGCCAGAAATGTTTATACTTCCTTCAATATAGCCACCAGTTTTTCTCCCTGCCAAGACATCAACCAAGGTGGTCTTTCCAGTACCACTAACACCAACCAATGCTGTTAGAACACCGGGTCTAAAAGCGCCGCTAACGTCCCTTAACAGTTGTAGTCGTCTCTCTTCAACCCCTTGGCTCTTCATTGCCTAATGAAAGTACACAGAAGCCCCCCAACTGACAGTTGCAAATCGAAGTCCAGTCTATTAGCCAAAGCCATTGAAGAGTTCAGATTTTCGTTTTGTCTTGAACATATGCTGTAAGATATGTAGTGATAGCATTAGACAGTACATTATAAGAATACGGTACTTACTGCAGGCATGTCGATATAATAGTTCACATGGTCGAAAGCTAGCGAAAGAGGCTGAAATGGTAAAACTATTCCTCGTTTAGTCTGATTTTTTGTGACTATGTCACTTGAGCTTTTATTTCCTTCTAAACTTGATGTCAGTTGCTTCTTGAGCCGGTTTTCTAAGTCGTCCTCTGATATCACTGTTCTGTTATCTCCAAAAGCTGAAACCAAGTAGAAAGGGAAGACAAAAGGTCAAGAAATGTATGCAATCCAAAAAGTAGAGATATGTTTGTAGAATCTATCAACTTACGATTCAGAAACGATAGCACACCGATGAAAAGAAGGTTGAAAAGAAGAGAAAATCCGAAAAGTGCTCCAATGCAAATCCAGAACCAATATTCATCTGTAAACAGTCCTTTTTCTTTTAGAAGGATCTTCCCTACCGTGGAGTTGAGAAGTGGCTGAGCCAAGGAAAAATAGTAAGTATACGATATGAAGAAACTCTTTGAGTTTTAAGGTTGGCGTTCTGAATTTTCTAATGTTTAATGGATGCTAAATAGAACTTACTGCACTCCATCTTTCGTCGAGGAACTCATTGATGGCAATGGCGTTTTGTCCATACATCATAGGAGAAATGTAGTAGCCCCATATCATCCATGGTTTGATGTCATCTGCATATAGAAAGATAGCAGTTGTCTTTTACTATTAGATGTATTTGAATATCTTAAACAAGATCATAGGATCCATTGGTTCAATCATCTAATATAACATAGTAAAAGGAGGAGGAAAATGAGAGTGATTTCTCACTTTTGGAGACAATGAAGCCACCGAGCAGAAACACGATCGGCAAAAAGAAGGTACTGAGTGTGTTTGCAACAACCACTGTTCTTCCGATGGCTGCAATAAGACGGAATAGAGCTAGAGCCATTTGATGGATTCCAAATAATGCCAACAGCATTTTGAAGAACCTAAAATTATGAAAAGAAGTTGATGCTAGAATTTAAGCTACATTCATAACCAAGTTCGATTTGGTTGCCTATGATCAATTGTAGTTTGTTCTTACCTACTCGCAGCTGGCGCAAAACCAATCGTGTAGTACGTAAGAACAATCCAGATCGTTGATTCCATTAATGAGATGGGAATCTTGAGTATCCAAATGGGCAAGCCAAAAGCCCAAGCTGGATAAAAGAATAAATCCCTCTGTTTGAAGAACACAGGAAGCCTGAAAACTGTCATTGCCAACTCCATCATCCCATTGAACATGACATTCAAAATACTGAAAAACAAAGCTCCCCAGAACTTCCCACTATCTTGGATTCAACCAGCTTTCATCTCTGTTCTTAAGAACACGGTGAATGTGATTATAGCCATGATTGTGATCTGAAAAGTCTTAATCACGTATACGAAAGAGTTTCGCTTCATCAACAACCATTCCCTTGAGAAACAGGCCTTAAAGAGCTCCCAATTGTTAAGGCCATACTTTTCTGTCACTAAAGCTGCAGGATGAGTTCTAGATTTATCATAAGGAACTCTAAGATCTTCTACAAGCTGTCGACCGATGTGAAAAGAACTGAATGCTTGGACAAAATCCGGCACGGAGACATAACGGTAAGGTTGGTTCTTCCTGCTCCAGTACTGCTCTTGATCCCTTTTGGAAGTAACTTCCTGCAGAAAGTCAGCAACTCCCTTCCTTTCTGGGCATTTAAATCCTACATTTTCAAAGAACTCGAGAGTGTTTTCGCGTGGACCTTGGTACACGATCTGACCCTCGGAAAGAAGGATTATATCGTCAAAAAGATCAAACGTCTCGGGTGCAGGTTGCAGTAGGGATATGACCATGCTGATGGACATAATGTGAACCATTTGCCTCATAAACTTGACAATATGAAAAGTGGTTGAACTGTCAAGTCCTGTTGATATTTCATCCATGAAAAATGCCTTTGCAGGTCCAACCAACATTTCCCCTGCATTTGAACACACAAAAATTCTTCAAAACTTGATCAAAACCAAGTGAGAAATATGAAAGATACATTTTGATTTCATAATCTATCGTTGCTCTCACCAATAGTTACTCGCTTTTTTTGTCCGCCCTGAGATGCCTCTTCTCATATCATCTCCAACCATTATATCAGCACAAATATCCAAACCAAGTATCTGATATAAGTTGAACAATTTCAAGATATCTTATAGTTTTATAGAGATGCTCCTACTGAAGAGTGGCTATAATAGACAGACCTTTAGAACATAGTCTGTGACCAAACTAGTTTCTTGGCCAGCCATAGCTGTGGCTTTCATGTATGCATCAATCTCGGGATCTGGTTTAATTCCTGCTTCTTTCTCCCTTCTAGACAATTCAACCAGCAAGTCATACCTGGTCCCGACTCCAAGGCAACGTCCAGAGAAATCCAGTGTCTCGCGAACGGTCATCTCGTTGTAATGAAGATCGCGATGGCTAATGTAAGCACTGGTTCTTTGAGGTATGAATTCATTGAGTTCGTGACCACAGTATGTAACTTTCCCACTTAACTGTCAGAAAATTGTTAATTTGTCAGTTTGAATGAAGAAACAATTAAATCCATGTCCTTGAGAGAAGTTGCTGACCCTTAGATCATCATCTGGTTTTCCAGCAAGTGCCTTTAGCAGAGTTGTTTTTCCCGAACCAGGAGGACCAAGAAGTAATGTCATCCTGAAAAAAGAATACACAAGAGAATAAGTTGCAACAAAATTTAACCAATCCCACTGCAAGATGAAGGTATGCATATAACTAGAGAATATTCTCGAATTTCGTTTTAGTCTTTACATTTTCAACTGTTATGTTTTAGTCCCCGTGAATCATTTTAGTCATTATCGTTAAATTTTTCGTCTAACGGAAGTAACATATCTATTAACTCTAAAGTTGATATCAAACTTGATACATGTGGCTTAGAACACAAATCAAAGTCATACTAGGCAAAAATTTTCGTCAAAGAAATATACCTTGAAGGTCTTATTATGCCACTTACATCTTGGAGTATATTAACAACTCTTTTCTTTGATGAAGAAAGCCCAATTGCTCCAAAAACTACCTGTTCACTTTAAAAAAAATCCTCAGAACAGATCATGGACAATTCAGAAACTCAAATTGTAACGTCCCAATAAGTCTACAATTCGGACCAGAATTTAGAATCTGAATTTGGTACCTAGTGTCCCTGATAATCTCCTGCATCTCCCACAACTGTACCTAACATGAGTTGTTTAATGCTTCCTAGTAAATTTTCGTCCGAATCCTAGACTTGGGGCGTTGCACAAATTCATCGAGAAAGAAACTTGATGGGAACAAAACAGTAAGTAGTTGATAATCACCTCCATTGCATTCAAGGGGGAGTTTAGTAGTGTTGGAAGTGCTCTAGTTCCAACATATGCATCCCCCTCTATGGACAACTTTTGAAATCTTACTTCAATTTTGGCAATTTCCACTCCTACCCTGTTACAAGAATGGTTTAGTAACTTTGTTTTCTCTCAACAACCAGACAAAAACTTTCTATACTCCCCTCATTTTCTCAGCAACCAAACAGATTATTCCCAAAGCAGTAAGCACAGAGAGAGAGAGAAAGAAGGAAGACTACTCAATCGCTAGGCTATGGATATTTAATCTTTGATACATATTCTTTAACTCGATATATTATAAATCAATCTATGACTATCAATATTAATGGGAGAACATAATCATAATATATATTTAATCTTTTATATATACTCTTAACTACATCAAATCATTTAGTTAAACTCGAAAACATTATTGATATATTTTAAGACAACTCACTAGACTACTTGAGTATGAATTCAATAGTTAAGATGTATCTACATTCCCAAAGAAGTGTAGGTTCAAGTTTTAACTCTCTATTCATGACGTAAAATTCTAAAAAAAAATAATAATAAAAATATTTAATCTTATTCTCAACATGGCACTCCCTTTTAACTCAACTAATGACTATTGGTATTAACCAAAAGTTAAAGTTTGAATACAAAATTTCTGTTGTGATATATCACATTAATTAAATCACTCATATCATTAAACTCAAAAACATATCATTAAACTCAAAAACATAACTATATAGTATGTATTTTTGACACGACACCTCCGACTCAACTAGTTACTATCAATATCAACAGCGAATGTCTGAATATATCTCTTCTGTTATGATATCATATATATGTTAGATTATACCGTTAAACCCAAAAAATTGGAGTATGTATATTTAATCTTTTATATATATTCTTAACATGCATGAACCTGTCACTTCGAGCCCGGATCCTTTTAAGGAACCTGTCACTTCGAGCCCGGATCCTTTTAAGGAACCTCTCATTGTCATCCTCAACATCCTTGAGAATGCTGTCCATCAGCGTTCTTTTATCCTCATTTCCAAGCTTTGTGAGATCAACTTGATCATGAACCACCTTCCCGCCGCCGCTGGTCACGTGCTTCAGCATCCCCTCGTCTGCACTCTGTCGCTGGCTGTTCCGCTCGAACACGTCTGACGGCGGTATGTTCCACGTGATCTCCCTCACACTTGCCGACCGCTCGTCTCCGGTGAATGCCGATGCCATTATTGTACTGTGGAGTCATCGGATTACGGTAGTTTCATATTTTTATTTAATGATGTGTTAAAGTGTGAAGATAAGTATTATCTAGTATTAGTATTTAATACTATAAATTTTCTCAAAGTTTTGTGAAGATTTTATTATATAGACGTTTGATTGTTGGTCAACGGTTCGGACGTGGAGTTCTAGAAGGATTTCAATTCAAATGGACGTTGAATTTTATAATCAAATTGGTCGTTAAAAAAAAAACAGCTCAATTTTTATTTATTTTTAATTACGAATATAACAGAAAAAAAAAACAACAAAACAAAACAAAGCCCCAATATTTATTTCAATCCTTAATGTTTTGATTTTTTTTTCAATTTAATTGTTACAATTGTCTTTTAAGAAAATAAGAAAAATCTGGTATAAATAGAAAATAACTTTCTAAAATCAATTTATTGAGCAAGAATAATAAAACAATCATCTTATTCTTGACATAACCCTACAACAAGAAAAATATGGGACAAATGGCACAAAAGTGGATTAATTTTATAAAAAAAATGTGAAAAATAAGTAAATTTCATATGGAAGGAATTGGATGAAGGTGATCCACCAAATCAAATTGGTGAGGTGGATTGAATTAATTAAGATAATTGTTTTGATTTTTGTTTTTACTTTTGAAATTTGGATAATAAAAATTCAAATACGTTTCTTAAATATGCTAAAGAAATGGTTATCGAAAAAGTAATAGTAAATTATTATTATTTTAATACAAAAAACTAGTGATTTATTGTTATGATTTGAATTATTAGGCATTTTGTTGACTTTTTGGCATATACCTTTCTTAGCTTATAAAATTTTCCAATCTTTAAGATTTATTGCTCAATAACTCGAAAACGTTTAACTTACGGTTTTACTAAAATTGGGATTTGTTTAACCAATGATTTTAATACATTTGAGTTGCGTTTCAAATTTATGAAATTCAAAATAAAAAAATATAAATATGTTAATATAGGTCGGACACGTTTAAGATTAATAAATTTATAATATGAGTCATATATTAATATAAGTTCCGCAAACTCATATATTGATATAGGTTCATCATCTTATTTTTGAATTAACGAACCTAACACTCCCTAAGAGAAAATTGTGCAAATTTTCAAAATGACATAATTTAGATTCGATATTTTTCATTGTTATAATTATAAATTATAAAAATGTAAAATGTTATTTGAGTTCCAATGATCCAATTTATGGCATTATTATTAAAATATTTTACTTTAAATAATAAATTGAAGCTAATTAAAATGTCAAATTACTTGTTCATTTCATCAATTAGAATACCCAATGGGAAGGTTTATTATCAATATTGAGAGGAAATAATGAAAAGGTAGAACATTAAAAATTTTAAATTTGTACTCAATCTTGTTAAACTATTAATTCTGATGAATGATTGGAAGCGTTTGAAAATTATGCTCTCATAAAGATAATAATACCAATTCAATCAAATGCAAAGATAAGGATTATTTAACCTCCTCCCTTCCCAACTAACTTTAGAAATATTCAATATTAGTTAGTTACAARGATGAGCTAAAATGAAGTCAATTTTATATTTAACATATAGATAAGAACGAAGACGTGAGTTCGAATCCTCACCTCACCTATCGTACTAAAAAAAACGAATACCTACACTAATCAAACTTATGATCCGTTTAGTAACATTTCTATTTGTTTTTTCTACTTTTTCAATCAAAAAAATATTATTACATTTGATAACTATTTCTTGTTTATTTCTTTTTCATTGAAAAAATAAACAAGCATATTTCATAACCATTTTTTGTTTCTTCTTCTCTAAAATTTTAAATTTAAGTAAAYAAAAAAAATTTATTTCTTTTTTAATGAAAATTAAAATTTCAAATTAAATATCCAAAAGCTTTATGTTATATTTAATTTCTGATATTTATTATAAATTTTATAAGTCAAAATGGTAAAATAATATTTTTAAAACAAGAAACTTGAATTTATTGTTTATAGAATTTCTAACAATTTTGAAAATGTTTCTTAAAAATGAAAAATATGAAAAATTATCAAACACTTATATTTTTTAAAAATTTAAAAATAAAAAATAAAAAACATAAACATACCAAACAAATTTTTTTTAACATTACCAAACAAATCTTGAAAAAAAAAACTCAGATAAACATGGAATAGATCATCAAAATTGTGTACAAATTTTATTCCCCTTTTAAAATTTTTCCAAAATACATAGAAAAAAGATTTTTTTTTTTTACTTTATAAAATCCATAATAAACATAAGTAGCAAAAATTGAATTTTTAATCTAAAACATTAGTTTTCATATTTAAAAAAAAACTTTTTGAATTTAAAAATTTTATAGAACTGAGACATTTCTATTTCATTTTTCAATTGAAAAATGAAGAACAAGAAATTAAAAATAGTTATCAAAACACAATTCTAGTTTTCTTTATTAAAAAAGCGAAAACGAAAAATGAGAAATAGGAATCATACTAAGACGGGCCATATGAGTTTTCCTGACAAGCTGTGTTCATTGAAATAATCTTATATAGCTTCTAATTACATAAGATCTATCACTTCAACCAACATCTGAGCTATATAAGTAAACAATTAGTCAACTATTGTGGATATGTTGCTCACTGCTTACCTGCACAGCGCTTTCCCTTCAAGCATCTCAATGCACAATCTAACCGCGCAACCAAAGAATCAGATAATAGGAGATCAAACTGCAAACCAGAAAATTTCAGAAGAACAATAATCTGAGACAAACCAATCCATTACAAACCAGATGGAATTTGAGAATGATGATCAATTCAATTGGTAGCCGAGTCCGCAACTAAGCAATTTATTAAGCAAAGATTACTTCAATAACAAAATTAACATGGGTCCAGAGTATAAAACTCTTTGAAATTTAGATGTGGAGACACTGTGGCCTCATTCTTTCTTTCCAATGCCGTGCGACATGTTATAAATTCCCCGTCCCTGCATGAAACAGGAGTGAGACCAACATTATTCATAATGCTAGACAACTAAACAGGAGGAAATCATCAACTGCACTGGAGAGAAATTAACTTACTATAAGATACAATGATGAGGCTGCAAAAGCAATTGGAATGGCAACAGAGGTGACCTTATCTAATGGCCCTTTGAGATATGTGTGCTTGTGGATGCTCTGGAAATACTTTTGTCTTTCAATAAGTTTCTCACGAGGCCTAAATGGTTCTTCAGTCATCCTACAATAAAAAATCAAATAGATAATAGATCTTCCTACATCTTCCAGCTGCATATCTATTCTCATATAGAAAATAAGTGAAGTGCCCTTACAATTCTCCTCTCTTCTGAAAAACAAAATTGAAATGAAAGAACTCTCGAAGGTGTCTAACCTATCCGCTCTAAAGCATGGACACTAACAATAAATACTAAAAGTATCTAACAATAAAAGTCCAAGAACATGATATATTGCTAACAGCTAGCAACCCAGCTCCAGAAAGAAAAAGATCTTCGTATTACTCAACACCTGCTATCCCAAAACAATTGAATATATGTTAATAAGATGGTACTGATTTCCAAATTCTGGTCAAGGCCTAGTTCATGAGCACACTACTCACTGGCTGCAATCACACAAGATCCATAGGATGAAATGGAGATACTATGCACGATTCTCCTTTTCAAATGGTTCAGACACCAATTAGTCAACAAAGAATGGACACCGGCGAAAATCACTCGATGTGAGACTTAAAACTGAAAAAGCATGTTACTTGGAACTTCTTGAAATTTCTAGCATTCATGAATTACAGCAAATATGAAACTAAGACAAACTAGCTCCTTCGGCACAAGAAGACATAATTATCTCAAATCATATCCCTAATTCTCTCATGTATCTTTTTCAACACTACGCCCAGACTGAAACATTGTACATTTAACGTGTACCATAAATAACTAGCAAGAATGATGTGCATCTACATTCTCACACACATTGTTATCTGATTCACTAATTTAATAAAACTCGTATATGATTACGACTATGATCCAGGAAACTTAACACCAATCCCAGCAGCTATTGCTAAGCTGCTCCTAGCTCAAAGAAAACAACAATCACTCTCACTTCCAGCTACTGAAGAACAAAATAAATCCCATTTCCATGAAATAGGCAATAAACACGAAGAAAAATAAAAAAAAAAAGCACACGAAAATGACCACCAAACTGACTCCATCACTTTTATAATTTCTACCGTAAGTTACCAACGTTGAAGGAGTAGAGGACGGAAGTTATAGCGTAGTTCAATCGAACAAGGAAACAGCATCTAAATCTAAATCCCCCAAAACGCTCATGAAATTGATAATTAACATAACCTAGGGCAAGCAACAAAAAATTGAAGGGGACCGGAAAAAGAAAACAACAACAACATTCGCAAAGCAGATTAACGAGAAAAAGAAATTATTGAATCGCTATAACTCCCATCCTAGATCAAATTACCAAAGAATGATCTGTGAAATCAGAACCCTAAAGAAGAAATCGGAGAACGGATTGAAACTCACGTGGAATTTGGAGTATCAGGCATAACCGACGGTGAAGAGCGAGAAAGCTTCGAAAGCTGCCGCTGATGGGGGCGAATGATAGACGACGACTAGGTGGAGGTCTGTGATGGGAAGGGAAGACTGCCCGCCTTTTCTTTTTTCTTTTTTTTTTTTTCATTTTTATTCATCGTGGGCCTAAGATCGCTTATTGGGCTTCGATATGGGCCCAGTTTCAGCACCACCCAGAAACACCGAGGTCCAAGTACAGAGTGAAAATTGAGTTGGCAAATGCACCAATGCACCTCATCAAAGCTAGCTAAACGATTTCTAAAAAAAAATGCATGTATATATTGTTTGGCAGTCCAATTGTTTAATCTTTTGAAAAATATAAATGAGCCGAATCAATATTTTGGACTTTCAAGAATATATTAAACAATATTAAAAGATTATACAACTTTTAAAATTCAATAATTTAACTTAGTTTTTAAAAATAAAATAAAACACTTTTTTTAAAATAATTTTATAATCACAGACACAGTAAAACTAAATGCGATTACACCACTCTTCGTATGATCTATTTTCATTGAACAGTCTTGTAACATTTCTATACCTATCGTATCATTTTAATAAGGTGTAAGCAAGTCGGCCAAAATGAAACTGAACATTYGAATTTTCATTTAAGAAAGAAAAAAAATCGATGCCAAAACTTTTTTTCTTTCAGAAAAAGAAAAAGAACTAAACAAGCGAAACTGACCAATTATATCCAAACCAAATAGATCAACCAACACATACTAAAATGAAATAAACCGAACCGAACCAAATTGATTTATTTGATTCGGTACCCTTAATTTTAATGAATATACATGTACTCCCAGGTCCCAACCCAACCATATCAGATATCACTCAACAATTCTGGCTGGCACACCATTTCATTTCCAGAATCTCAATACATTTCCTGATTCCTGGGCGGGGATTTCATGAAAGGCAAAAATGGAAAAAATAATCTGGGACAGATGAACAATTCATACAAAATCTAAGCATCATATCCAGAATTCTATTAGGTACTTGAATCTGGAACTAAGCCATTATTGAACAAAAACTACTTCAGTAACAAAATTCACATGGGTTCAGATCATGTAACTGTTTGAAATTTAGATGCAGAGACTGTGACCTCATTCCTTCTTTCCAATTCCGTGCGACATGTTATAAATTCCCCGTCCCTGTACGGAACACGAGTGAGATTGAAAAAGTTAGACGATTAATTTAACGTTCTTTGAAATGGACGTGAAAGGAAATAATTAACTGAGCTGGAGGGAAGTCAACTTACGATGAGAAACAGTGTTGAAGCTGCGAAAGCAATTGGAATGGCAACCGAGGTGACTTTATCCATTGGGCCTTTAAGATATGTGTGCTTGTGGATGCTCTGGAAATATTTTTGCTTCTCCAGAAGTTTCTCACGGGGTCTAAAAGGTTGTTCCATCCTTCTGCATTTTAGTTCAAATAGAAAATAAGTAAACTCCCATAATCTACTTTGCCACATTTTTTCATCTCTCAAACCAACCATCTAATAGGGAAGAATACAAGTTTAGTTCCTTTACTTTTGAGGTTGTTTCTAATAGAAACCTAAAGTTTAAAAAGTGTCCAAGAGATCCTTGAACTTTTAATTTTACGTCAAATCATTAAACTTTCAATTTTGTATCAAATGTTTTTCAAATTCATTGATCGGTTAAACACAAAATTAAAAGATCGAGGTTCTATTAGACACAAAGTTTAATTTTGTGTCTAATAGATATTGAATAGGTTAGAAACCTGTTGTACATAAAATTGAAAGTTTATAGGCCTATTAGACATCTTTTCAAGTTTAGGAACTTAACACTAAACTTATAATTTAACCCGTAAACGAAAAATATGCTTTTGAGATGCACCCTAGCCTCCATAGAATAGTAAACCTCTTGCTAGTGTGCCAAATATTATTTCCTTTATACCACAAACAAGAATAAGAAAATTCTAAAGCAAAGACAATAAATACAAACCATTTACAATGATAAAAGCTCAAGAACATGATACATTGCTAACATTTAGCAATCACGCCACCTCTAGAAAGGGAAAAAACACAATTGTGCAGAGTTATAGCTGCCTTAAAATGTAGGATATGTTGACCAGAAGGCTCGAAGTCACATGTGATCTATAGATAAAATAGATGTGACCATGTACATACATCTGATCCACCAAATTTTACAAATGTCAAATACTATCCCTAAACGCTATAACACCACTTCCCACCAGCTTTTGCCCACTTGCCCCCTTACCCAAAGAATACAACAATCACACCACTTCCAGCTTTGAAGGAAAATACAAGTACTCGTTCCTACGAAATGTGCAGGAAAACATGAAATTAAATTAAAATTTCCACGAAAATAACCATCAAAACGAGTCCAGTAACCTTTCTTTTTCTCCAGCCAGTTGCCAATAAAAAATCACACAATGAAGCTCATTTCGAGTTTCAATCGATGAGAACACAAAAACACATATAACTTGATTCCCATAAAATACTCATCCATATGAAAATTAACACAACCATACAGGGACAAAATAAAGAAAGGGAACTAATAATTTTGTGTGCACATATACATCAAAAAATAACAATAATCGTGAAACAGATTAGCCAGAAAACAAACGGAACGGAAAAGTAACAATTAAACATCAAAACTCCAATCCTAGATCAAATTATCAAAACATTCGTGAAACCTTGTTCGTAATTCTAAAGAAGAAATCGGATAATGGAGCTACTCACGTGAATTAGGCGGATTCAAGGAATAAYAAACGGTGGAGAGCGAAAAATCGTTGCTTCAGAAGCCTCAACAAATGGGAGCGAATTATAGACGCGGACTTGGCGGAGGTCTGTGATGTACTGATGCGAGCTTGCGAAGGCAGTTGCGTTCTCGTTGCCCTTTTTTTCTTTCTTTCTTTCTTTTTATTTATTTTTTAGTTTTTTTCCAGCATTTTGGTGGGCCTGATATTGGGCCCAACAATATAGGTCCAGAATGGAATCCGCAGCCTGGCCCAATAATGGGTATGAAAAACCTCTACAATTTGGAAGTTGTTTTCTGTTTTCTAAAATAAAAAATTATCGAAGTATACATCTACCTAATTATTTACTAGAATTTTATTCTTACAATTTTTAAATAAATATAATTATTTTTTTCTTAAAACCGCAAATTTATAAATAGTTGTCACTATAATTTCTATTTTATTCTAGACATTTTAGAATACTCCAGAATTTTATCTTTCGTTCTTTTTGTTCGTTCAAATATCTAACTGATGTATAATATTTAGGTTATATAATGAAGACAAATCATGTATTAATTCTAATTAAGCTGGATATTATATATACCCCTCTTTTAATTTAAATATATATCTTATCAAATTGGGATACACTCGCGGGATTTTATTGCCTTATGACAAAAGAAACCTTTATCAATTTATGTAATGTATGTCTATTATATTAAGGCATAGAATGATAGAGTTATAAATTTCGCAACATAAACAATATCCATTACCCACCAAAGAAAACCCGCGCGATCGAAAGGGGCCAGTGGGCATCACAGACCTCCGCCAAGTCGTCGCATATTCTTCGTTGCCCATCAGTTGCAGTTTCCGAAGCAACGATTTCTTGCTTCCCACTGTCTATTATTCCCACAAGTCACCGAATTCTCATCAGGTTTGCTCCACATCCAGTTTCCCTTCTGAGGAGTGAGGTTACAAGAATCATTCTGTGTCAATCTGATATGGAATTAGAGCTCCATATCCAGTTTCTTTTATAGTTTCGTTCTGTTGTCTATGGTTATTCTGCTTCACTAATGGTGTTGCTGTTTGATTATGCTTCTGCTCTTGAAATGATTAGGTTCCGTTTGATAAGTGTTTTTGGGGGTTTAGTTTCATATATTGTTGTTTCCCTATTCAGCTCAGATACGCCATAAGTTTCATTCTCCTACTTATTAATTGGTGGTACTGTCAATCGATTCACTTGCAGAGTAATTGAATTAAATGAGTAATGGTTTCATCTAGTGCTGTTGGTTCAGTTGTATCCTCTAATCAACAGTTGCGAAGCTAGGACAATGGTGGAGCGCGGACGCCAGTAGTTTGCGACCGTGATTGGCTGTTTGGGTTCTGTCGGCTACCAGCTAAAATGCGCTCCAAGGATAGGATCTCCTACTTTTACGATGGTACTATTATGTTTTCTCCTTCCCTTCCACATCTATTCATTTGATTTTCTACGAATTCCAATACTCAAGTTCTTCCCGATCCAGCTCGGAACACCTTTCTCTGAAATTATGAAAAATTTCATAAATGTTTTTTGGTGTTTGGAATTGGAATATGTGTTATCAATTTATTATTTTCTTGTAAACCATCCAGTTGGAGCAGGAAACAGCACAATGAAAGAACGATTGACTTATGGACTATTTTGTGTTTGTATTCGTCATCTATTTTTGCGCTGAACTTGCACTAGTGCCCAATAAGAACATTTTATATTCATGGAACAATTTGAAATTACAATCCTATCGTTTGCCTGTTTTACGATCCGTACTCATATTTTTAAAAAATGGTATCAAATACTCCCGTGTTTTGTATCATTGCAAACCATATCTTTCTAAATGTTATTTTTGCTTTTGATAGAGTTAGTACACATTGCAGATGTAGAATAAGACGTGTACTAATTCCATTCTCATTGACAATAAGATTTTAGGAGGTTATAGTTTTTAAATTTGCAATGTGGAGGAGTATATGAAACTAATTTTAAAACACAAGGGTATAATTTGCAAAATTAGCAAACTCAAAGGTGTGATCTATAATTGTTACTTTATTTATTTAATGCATCTCCAATTATGTATACCTTGTCAAAGTTCAAAGCGTAGCCAAGATTTTGTTCTTCGTTTATCTTGATTATCCATTACAGACAGTTTGAAGTCTGGAACTTAGTTATCCTTCGAGGTGAGGAAGTCAGTTAAACTTAAGCCTTACACAAAAGATGGTTTTGCAGGGGACGTGGGAAGTGTTTACTTTGGTCCAAATCATCCAATGAAACCACATCGACTCTGTATGACTCACCATCTTGTTCTCTCATACGAGCTTCACAAGAAGATGGAAATTTATGTTAGTCTCTTGCTTTTTGAATTTGTCGTACAGTAAAGCAGAGGCCTTAATATCTGCTCGTAGGTCTGCTGTTCTTTTTGTTGATTTTTGTACTACCAGCACAGTATGGCTATATGTGTTTCTGTTTTGATGTATTATGCAGCGTCCACACAAGGCATATCCTGTGGAGCTTGCTCAGTTCCATTCGGCTGATTACGTGGAATTTCTGCACCGAATAACTCCCGACACTCAACACTTATTTGCTAATGAGCTGGCTAAGTGTATGAATTTTCTCTTGATCTTTTTCCGTTGTTTCTCTGTAGTTGCATGGCATTTGCGGGCAGAGAACTTGTGATAAGTTTAGACAATTTTTCTGATAAGATAAATTTTTTATAAGAAATTTAGACAATTTTGCACTTTTATGTATCAGATAATCTTGGAGAGGATTGCCCTGTCTTTGAGAACTTGTTTGAATTCTGCCAAATATATGCGGGTGGAACAATAGGTAAATTCAAACATGGATGCCTCGTGGTTCATGCTGAAGATTTTCAGTCCTTCTTGACTCATTATTGACATTCTCCTTGTAGATGCTGCACGCAGACTAAACCATCAACTATGTGACATTGCTATAAATTGGGCTGGTGGCTTACATCATGCTAAAAAGTGCGAGGCTTCTGGGTTTTGCTACATCAATGACTTGGTCTTGGGGATACTTGAACTTCTAAAATATCATGCTCGTGTTTTATATATTGATATAGATGTGCATCATGGTGATGGGGTAGAGGAAGCATTTTATTTCACTGACAGGTACAACATGACCTGAACTTTTCCAGTTCTACAAAGGATTTACACTTAGAAATAGGAAAAATTTCTATCGAGTGTGAGATATGAAAGTTTGTCGAAAGTTGATATTGACTGCACAGGTTGTAGCTTTCTGCATGTAATTTCACTTTTCTAAATTATAGATGTTGGTGCAGAGTCACTGACACACAATTGTTTGTTATTGTTAATTTATTTATGGAAGAAATGTATTTTATTGATAGAAGGATATATACAAAAGAGGGAGAATCCTTACAAATCCTCTAAAATTACAAAGGACTATCCAGTTGGCAGTTGCAAGTGATGGAGGAGAGATAATAATTACAAAAATCTCCTATATTAGAGCCCCACAAGGGGGTCAAAAGTCCGCAAAGTTTTCCAAGGGATGGAGGGACCTTTGCTTGGAATAGTCAGACCTTATATGTTTTAATAGTTGTAGTTGGAGTACTTCAAAATCTTTTATAGTTATTCTTCTTTTTTACTGTATGTATAGTGGAATGTTTTTTTTAATCTTCATCAGCTTGGTTAGAGAGGATATCTTAGTCTAATTGTTGTATTTTTTTCATTGATGATGGAAAATTGTTGAATATAAYGAAATAGAGTTCTAGGCCTCCACACATTGTGGATTTAAATATTGCAATATCCTTTTATTCGTCTCAAGCAATCAGTTCCAGAATAGAGCTCTAGTGGCATTTGGCCAGAGTGTCTGGGCATTTGTTTTTGTTTAATATCGGGGGTGAGGGTTAGAATGCTTGTTCAGTTGTTATCCATGAACTTATACATTGTGAAAAATAGCATGGATTGTCATGGTATTAAGTGGATCTATTGTTGCCCTACTTGTTGCTTCCTTACTGCACCACGGATCTAGAAACTGCTGCTGCTTGAACAGTTGAACTGGAAAGAAGGCTATATTTCAAGTGATAATTGCAAACTGGCATATTTATAGTACTGCATTGGTCTACTACCACTAATTATCAACATTTGCTGTTGACCTATAAGGATTTTAAGACAGTAGGAACTGTTTAATTGCATGTTATAAGAGCTTCACGAGCTGTTAATTGATACATATCCATCTTGAGTATATTGTAGCTCTCTCTCTCTCTCCCCTAACACTTAATGTTTGCAAATCCCTCATGACAGGGTGATGACTGTTAGTTTTCACAAGTTCGGGGACATGTTTTTTCCTGGAACTGGTGATGTTAAGGTGACCTTTCAAAATTTTCTCATCTCTTCGTTGGTGCTTATAGTGGAAATACTAGAAACTACTCAATATTAGTTGATAAATTGCCCTCTTTGCTCTTCTTTTCCATGTCTCTATCACTTGTATGCAACCAAGAAGGCAGAACATTCCCCTATCGTGTCTTTGCTGTCTCGTTTTGAATATTTATTATTGTGCAACTTTCACCTTAGAGGAGCCTTGAATAGTAGACAGGGGATTATCTAATACTGTTATTCTCTTACCTACATGGGTTTCGGTATCGACTTGATATTAGGGATGGGTGAATTTGGATGTTTGATTCTTTTCATGTCTTCTCTTGTAAGTTATTTTCTCTCAATTGGTATCACTGGCTTATTTGTTCGCCTCCATTTTTGTGAAGATGTGGAAGGTCAAAATTCCAAAGAACGTAAAATTATTTGTTTGGTTGGTGGCTTTTGGGAGGATTGAGATTATGATTTTAGATGCCTTCCTCTTTGGCCCTCCATCCATGGTAGTGCGTTCTGAGCACAATCACATACTTTGGCCATGCGTTTTTTCAGGAGGACTTGGTTCAAGTTTTTCTAGTGGTTTGGAGTTGCTCTGGCCTGTTCTTCTAATTTCTGTTCCTAAGATTGTAGAGGTCTAAGTGCATCCTCCCGTTCATGAGGGATGTAGATTGTTGTGGCAAGGCAGGTTTCTTTGGTTGGAGGGGAACACAGGGGGGTGTTAGACCAAAGACAGACTTGGTGGAAGTGTGGTCTAATGCTCACTTCAATGCCTCCCCTCCCTATGGGTCTATTTGTCATAGTCTGTTTAGCGATTTTCCTTCCTTCTTCCTTTTTTTTTTAAATAAAAATTATTATTACTGTTGTTGTTATTATTATTATTGTTATTATCATTATTATTCTTAATTATCGACAATTGGGGCCGACAAATTTATCTCCCAATAACCTTGCCTAATGGGAAATTATTATTCTGCTCTTAGGCTTCCTACAATTTGGAAGCTGGATGATACTCATAGATATTAGTATTTTGAAGGAAATAGGAGAAAGAGAAGGCAAGTTTTATGCCATTAATGTCCCACTAAAGGATGGAATAGATGATGGTAGCTTCACCAGACTTTTCAGGACAGTAAGTAGACTAGAAACTCTTTAGAACTAAGCTTTAGCCCTTTGCTTTTATTTTTGTTGATCATAATACTTTTGCTGTGAATTTTGTACATGTAGATTATCTCCAAGGTTGTTGAAATGTATAGACCAGGCGTCATTGTTCTTCAGTGTGGGGCTGATTCGTTGGCTGGAGATCGCTTAGGCTGCTTCAATCTTTCTATTGATGGTGTGTGTTTCATTGTAATTAGGCACTTTGTTTTTCAAGTTAACTTGAAGGCCAATGTTCAAGTAACGTTAAGTTCTTTATTCTTCCAACAGGTCATGCTGAATGTGTTAAATTTGTCAAGAAATTTAATTTGCCTTTACTGGTATGCTTCTTTGGAGGGCTTAAAGTTCTGTGTTTAATTGTATACGATGAGATATTGATAGAACTTTCCTGCCCCTGCAGGTTACTGGAGGTGGAGGTTATACCAAAGAGAATGTAGCTAGATGTTGGACCGTTGAAACAGGAGTTCTTCTGGATACAGAGCTGCCTAATGGTATAATAAGTCATGTAGTACTTTCCGCAGCCTTCTTAATTCCTTATCTTTGTTTGTTTTCCTTGTCCATTTATTCTGTATGCATAAGATCATTGAATTAAATTTAGGCATTACTATTGATGCCTCTGAAAAGGAACTTGTACACTCATATTCACCATCCCCCTATGCACTTTTAGTTTTAAGTGGTCTTTCATGTATAACATATAAATAAAAGCACCCCTCATAAGGGTGAACATTGAAGATTGACATCGATATTTGAGTGTAACTTTAAGAAAATACTTGTTTCCATCAGATTTTGCCTTTCATATTTGTTATCTGTTTATTCCATACTCTGCATATTTTTTGACTTGTAAGTTGAAAGGTTTTCTCTGAAGCTTGCATGTTAGTTGTATAAAGTATTTTTCCTGCTTCTGTGTTTAAACCATACCCGATACTTACCCCAACCAATTTAAACTTCTTTCTGATTCATATGTGGAATTTTTGCCCTATGCATGTTCTCTCGATTGAGAATTAGGAATTTATGCTGAAAATCTGAGCTTTCTTGCAGAGATCCCAGAAAACGAGTATATCAAATACTTCTCTCCAGACCATTTGCTAAGAATTCCAAATGGGCATATGGTTGGTGCCTTTTCTAATTTGCATTATACGTGCCTTTTACTTCACTTTATTATAACATAATCTGCAAGGTGCATAGAGATCTGAACATTTATTTTTTTTTTATCAAAATCTGAACATTTATTTTGACATCTGGTTTACTCCAGGAAACTTGGATGTTGATCACTCACACTCCCTTCCATATTCTTGTAATTTCCCTGGCAGGAGAATTTAAATACGAAATCTTACCTTAGCACGATCAAAACACAAGTCTTGGAAAATCTCCGTTTCATCCAACATGCTCCAGGTGTACAAATGCAAGAGGTGGGTTTGTGGCTGAAGTTTTATGTCTAGTCAACCAGGTCATTTTACCTTTGAGACAATTGACTGATTGACTGATTCAAAATACGGATAGTTCAATATATCCTTGTGGTGAAAACTAATAGCTTGTCATAGTCTTTTTGGTTGGTTAACTTGCTTTGCCTCCAATTTTTTACGAGGTTCCAGATGAAGTGGTATGGGGGTTTTCCAAAGCATGTAATAGAAGTCATAAATATCTTCCCTTTCATTGTTATTAGTGTCTATATCAGCTGTTCCAAGTAAGAATGAACTTCACACGAATGTTATTTGATACTCGTTGCAAAATATTTGGTTTATCTTATTACCATGGATACCATACTAAGTTCAAGTTGTTACATATGAATTGCAGAACTCGCATGCTTGTAGGCTGTACTAATCGGATCCTTGGTCCAGTGTATTTTGTCATGTTGCCTCTTTTTCGTTTCTTGTGCAAGATTAAGTTGGTAGAGAGATGATAGACCCCAATAGCTAAGTGTAGAGTCATAAGCGAGTAAAGGGAGGAACCACTTAGCTTTTAGCATGACTGTGGAGATTGGGACCCAATAACCCAATATAATTAGTTAGTTGGAGTGGCAGGAAGGTATTTAGTTGGAGAGAATTTAGAGGATGGATTACGATTAGAGAGGATGCTTTTTGGTTAATACGAAAACTTTTATGTCTCCTAGGTCCGGGCCTTAGGACAGGTATGGGTGCCCTAGTCTTCAAAAATAAATAAATAAACAAAGAATTTTTGTAAACCATATACATGGAAGATGCTAGTTGGATTGAGAGCAATCTTTTATCTAATGCAGGTTCCTCCTGACTTCTATATTCCTGATTTTGATGAAGATGAGCAGAATCCTGATGAGCGCATGGACCGTGAGTGAATATGAACATTGTCTGTTTGCTTCTCTGGTTAGATTTTGTTTATGTCTTCCTCAATTGTGTTTAAATTCTGTAATTTCAGGGCATACCCAAGACAAGCAAATCCAGCGGGATGATGAATATTATGAAGGAGATAATGATAACGATCATGATATGGATGATGTGTGAAGTTCATGCTCAAGTTTTTTTTTTTTTAATAGATGACCGACTTCGATAGAAAGAAAGCATGTAAATAGATCGAATTGTTTATTATCTCTGTGTAGCGGTAGGTTTTCTCTTTACCTCTATCTGGAAAAAGATCTTATAAGATTTTTGTTGGTGGTAAAGAAAATGTGATAGACTGGACAATTTAAACACAATACAAACCATGAAATTGGTAGTTTCTTAAAGTTCTTGGTTTAGGTTTGGAACTTTCTGAAGCTGAACTAAAACTATGGCAATTTGATTTGAAACCATTTGATAAGTTGTTAAAGAAAGGATGAACTTGTTTGGTGCACAATCTAAATCTTTATGATCTTGCTGGATGAATTAGAGTATATTAGTTCTATTCTGTTGAACTCTTGTTTAAAGGTTATCAGCCAATTTCTTCTGTTTATTTACAAACAACGTATATAGGAGTGATCAACGCATATGCTTTTTAAGTTTGAGTGGTAACATTTGGCACTCAATTTTTATATTGTGACTTCGTATGTTTTCAGCTGACCATGGTATGTACAAAAATGTGTAGACCAGAGATTGTATCAGAGGATATGAGGTGGTAGAAAAGACAATATCTTGAGACAGGTGGCTTCAATACCATCGAAGAGGGATATTGCTATCTTAATGAAATCTTCATTTGGATAATGAATTCTTACGATGTTTGGTTGGGTTGAAGTATTCTTTAGACCCAATTCAATTGTTCGGGTTGTAAATTTATTAATCTCAAACAACTATTATAAAATGACGAGTCCAATTCAACCCAATCATAAAATATTTGGATTGAATTGGTTCAAATTATTTAGGTCATTCATGTAAAATACTATTTTAAGAAAAAAAGTAAATGTTAATAACTTAAATATTTTTTTACATATTTTTTTACCATTGAATCGATTTCTGTAAATCAATGTTTGTTTATATAGTAAAAAATTACTCTTCAAAAACAAAAAAAAAATTTTAAAGTTGTTAGACAGAAATAATTCATAAAGAATTATTAAATAGAATAAAATTAAAAGAAATATAACTATATATAATTTTGTTGTAAATAGAAGAAATAATTTTAAAATTAATAATAAGTTTGAGTCATTTGGTTCAATTCAAATCTATTTTCGATAAATTCGTGAACTAATTCAAGCAGAGAGTTTTCATTTATTTGAACAATCAAAAGAAATTTTAAACCTTGGTTCATTGGATTTTTTTTTTAACACCTTTTCTTTTTTCTTTTAATGGAAGTTTGAATTTTCATCAACAAGGGTGCAAATTGATTGATTGGACAAGGATTGGAACTTCTCTGCTTTGTCCTTCTCTTCTCTCTCTCTTCTCATTTTGGGAAGGTTTTCAGTCTGCATTTTTTCAACAGATGGGACCCAATTCGTACCTGGTTCATCAAAACTGCAGTTTCTGCTAGACCCAATTTCTGACACAAAAAAAAAAAGTTTTGTTTGAACTGGAGGCTCAACAATGGTGAAAAGATATTGAAAAAAGAGCAAGAGAATATTGGTGGCTGATGGGACAAAAGTTTTTCTACTATTTGTTAGTATCTTTATGCAGTGTGTGGCCATTGCAGCTTTTTATCTTCAAAACTGTATGATTCACCTCCCTGCTTTTACTCTTTTACTTTCCCAAATTTGTCTTCACAGCTTCAGAAACATGGAATCACATTTCAAAAAAGCAAACTTCTTTGCCGACTGAAAGCTCGGCATAATCTGATAAATGTTTCAATGGGAGAACCTTTCCATGACTAATCGGCGGAGTCTTTAGAATCTCGGAGCTTTTTTCCCGAAACTTACGTCTCATTTCGAATTCAATGGTCGATTTCGTGAGATTCTTGAAATGTATTGTGTAATATCAGGAGGAGGTCTGAACAAAGTTGTTTTTTACAGCAATTCTGAAACAGAACTCTCTACAGTCAAGATCAAACAAGGGTGTTTTTGCTAAAAGGTGGATTTACTTGTGAGATAACACACAATTTGGTTGAATGAATCGATTTGATGTCGATCCATGGAGCACATCGAAAATCAAATGCGCTGAATTCTAAGATCACTGAACTTTCAAATGAAGTTCAAAGCGACCTCGAATTTTATTCAAGGCATGATAAAGCTTATATTATTGTAGTGTCGGGACAATAGTAAATCAGCAGATGCATACCACATAACTTTAAAAATAAAGGCTGCCTTGATATATCAATCTCCAATTCAACTTGCTCAAGTAAGGCAAATAGACTTTCATTGGGACGCGATGCAGAAGATATTGAATGAACAAACACAGACCGATTAGATATCGATGTCCGTTCCACATAAGGATTACCACTGCTTTTACTTGAACAATTTGCATTATTTTGCAAGAATGAAGTATCCAGCCAGAAATCATGAATCTGAAATGTGTTTGTTCTCTGCTAAGATGCTTTCCAACAGTGATTCACAGGCATCTTCAAGCAAGTCCAGAACCTAAATTGACACATTGAATTATTTCAACAGAAGTACTAAATTAAAGGCATTGAAGTCAGCACAAGAAGTAGAACTTAAGGGTATGCTAAACTATATAGATTATCAACTTGATGAACAATGAATTGATATCATTCATGAGTGAAAATTAATGTGATCTCAATCATAGAGTTCAGAAATTCTTTTACATGCAAACACTGGTTATGTTGCTAGAAGAAAATAGAGTTATAAAAGACATATTTCAAAGAAAAAGAATGCATTCTTGAAACTGGAAACAAAAATCACATTATTTTCTCTTCAGAAGAGCAGCCATATGATTGAACATATCACTTTCTCAAGCAATTTTCAGCCTAAACTAAAAGTATGGTAGTATGAAAACATGCATACTCCCAATCAAAGAGATAATTTCCCATTTTTGTTTTCAATCCCACACTTCATATCCAAAGTAAACATATCTAAGAACTTCTGGATTACCTTCTCGAAACCCTGTTGGCCACCGTAATAAGGATCTGGAACTTCTGTTTCATTGTKCTTTCTACAATAGGAGCACATTAATTTGACCTGACATTATTGTACCAGCAACTTCACGAGATCACAACACAAGAAGAAAAAAGATTGAAAMCTATACAAAAACAAAAAGTACCTCTCAGTCTCATGGAAGATTTTGTACTAACCTTTTCATGTGAATCAGGAGGAAGGGACTCCCTAGCTTTCCACCGATTAAAAGCCCTCAAGATATCCTCTACAGTTATAATCAAGACCCAGGAAATGAATGATTAACGTTTAAAGTTCAAGTTGGCCAAGGAAGATTTTGCTTATATATCCTCCTACCTCTGTTCTGCTTGTCCATGGCAAGAATAAGATCAAAATTTATGAAATCAGATGGCTGGATTGGCCTCGACAAGGATGTTATCGTAATCCCGCGTCGTTTAGAAGCCGCCCTCATTCTTGGGTCGGCCTCATTGCCCTTGAAAAAGTAATCAAAATCGCTCAGAACCATTTAGCAGCATTTGTTGCTTCTAAGAAATTATAGCGATGAACAATTGCCAAGGAAATAAGAAGAAAAGGTAAATATTATAGACGCAAGAATTTTGTTAAAACTGGGGGATGAAGAACCTTCTAATCGAATCTACGACAAGAAAAGGGCACATGGAAGTGTGATTGAGCAGTCTCCGAAGCGCAAACGAAGAAAAGAGACGCAATTACCTCATGGTAACCAATGGTACCAGCGGAATCGATTAAAAATTTGGAATCGAGACCCTTCTTTTTCACCAGGTCCCTGAATACTCCTTCGGCCGCTGGGCTTCTGCAGATGTTGCCCAAGCACACGAAAAGCACAGAGACAGGCTTCTTCTCTGTCTCTGAGCTCGTGGACAGAGCCGAATCGGCCATGGAAGCTGTGGTGAAGGATGTTGATGGAGTAGAGAAATTGGATCGACGAGAAGGCTTAAAATTCTGAAGATGGGGGTATCTTATTGGTTGAAAAACAAGCAATGACGAAGGATTCAGAGATGAAATGGGGCAGAATTGACAGAATCTCTTTACACCAAAATTGGCGTCAACTCTAAGCTGCAATTGCAATGCCCTCATCACTTCCACTGCTTTACGAAAATTATTGGTTCCAACAGAATCCGAGAGTTCTGAACTAATGCTACGTAGAGCCAATTTCTTTCTTACTTTCGAGATAATGCTATATCAAAATTATGCAAAATTTCGTCTTCTTCAACCATTTTCTACAAATTCAAGACTGTTATTATAATTTTAATCTCTTTCTGTAATTCATTGAGAAGAATCTACTGAAATGTCCATTTATCTATCTGTTGGAAGGGAAGAGGATGATATTGTTTGTTTTTTCCCCCTTTGGAGACACCCTGCTATAAATTGATCTATTCATGTATCACGCTTTACAACATATAGTTTTCCTTTCACTTACACATTTACATTATAAGCTATAATAAGGATGAGAACTAAGAAAAAGAACACATCGTGGTCCCTTGGTCAGAAAGTATAAGCTAAAACAGGTCAAAAGTTGCTGTGTCTGCCTCCATATTCTCGTGATCTCTACGCTTCGTGTTATCCCCGGAATCCATTGGCAATGCACCAGTTCCACCGTCGAAAAACTTGGGGAGTTCAGGTGGAACTGCACAACGTATGAGAGCCCAATTGAGGCCTTCAAAAAACGGATGCTGCTTAATCTCAATAGCCCCTTTCGTCGAGCCTAATCGGTTTTCGGGCTCCTTTGCTAGCAGACATCTGATCAGATCTCTTGCATGGAAACTAACTATGGGGCTATCGGGGAACTTGAGAGTTTGCGAGACTATGTTCGCTAATGTGTCGTCATTTCCTGAACCTTTGAAGGGAGTCTTACCATATAGTAGCTCAAACAAGAAAATCCCATAAGTCCACCAATCAACAGCACTCCCATGGCCATCACCCTTGACAATCTCCGGAGCGAGGTATTCATGGGTTCCTACGAACGAATTGGAACGTGCGCTGGTTGGCTCCACGACAAGCTGTGGTAATAGGCTAGCCTGATAATCTGTTTTCGTTCTCCGGGATTTACAAGGAGCAGATAGAACTTTGGGAGTGAAGCATGAGACTTGCCAAGATGGGTGGAGACAGAAAGGGTCAATGCAACTAGATTCATCACAGGGATTCAGCGTCCTTTTGGTGGATTCCACAACTGGAGATGATGATTGAAGCAGCATCGGGTTAACAGCACATCTAAGGGACAAATCAAAGTCTGTAAGCATGATGTGCCCATCTTCTCGGACCAGAACGTTTTCGGGTTTCAGGTCTCGGTAAACAACTCCTAGCATGTGTAAGTACTCCAGGGCAAGAAGAACTTCGGCAACATAAAACCTAGAATGTAAAGATTCAGCAGGTCCAAAGTGGATCAGAAAGATGCTAACCGAATTTAATTTTTGGTAACAAAAGATGCAGTGTTCTTTCAATCAGTCATACTGACTATGATGGAACTTGAGTTTCACAAGAAGAAAACCACATCATCCAACAAAATATTTGGACCAACAAAAGAATACAATCAAACAGAAAACACATGAGAGCATGCTTTAATACAATCACCTAAACTCAACCTCCGTTTACCATAATATTTTAACACACATCCACAAATGGTGATGGTCCCCTTATCTCTTCTTTTTATTCTCTACTTGCCAATGTTCAATTCACATATACATGAACTCAATGACTAGACATCATGATGTTAGTATGTACATGATGTTAGAATGCTAGCACCAGTACATACTAACATCGTGAACTTGAAAAACAGATGTTTAATCATATTGGAACGATTAATTAGAGCAACATGATCTAACCTGACTGCATGCTCAGAGAAACTCTTGCATGTTTGCTTCTGTCGCAGCACATGGAGATCTCCACCTGGACAGTAGTCTATGACCAAGCATGAGAGCTTATCTGTCTCAAAATGAGAGTATAATGTAGGAAGAAATGGATGGTCGAGCATTTGCAGTATCTCTCTCTCAGTTTGTGCCCGAAGTACTTTTTTCCTGCTTGCCAAGAACTCCTTGTCCATGACTTTAATTGCAAACAGACAATTTGTCTCGCATAGCTCAGAGAGATACACAGTTCCAATGTCCCCAAGACCAAGCCTCCTTAGCAGCTTGAAGTTTCTCAGACCAAGGCATTTATGTTCATCCTGAAGATGGTGGATGGCTTCCCATTTCAAGTCCTTTGACATGTGAGGCCTAACTCCACTACGACTTGATCCACTGAGAATGCTTTCCCCACTGATGCTTGGGCTACTGCTACATTCACCAATACTACTTTTTGAGCTCTGAGAGAACATCCCTTTCTCTCTTGATCTGGATCGCTCATCAGATGCCATTATAGTTGGCCTGTTCCTGTTACAGCAATTGAGAGATGTACCACGTCTAGACAAATCTGTGTTTACTACACATGCACTTGCTTCAGTACCTAAAGTTGTGCAACTAGAGACGGAAGAACCTTTCTCTTCTTCTTTACTCTTATGATGCTGTGCATTGTCTGACATCTGGTTCTCAGCATTTTCTGCTATGGAACCCAAATCAGTGTCAACCGTTCCTGCACACATATCACACATGCTAGAGGGGGAATTTGGTTCAAGTTTTGCTTTCTTCTTGACAAAATTCTTAGTCCTGAAAATAGGTTTGATGAAACGTGTATTATTGAAAGCTGATTTGTTTGGCCTAACAACAGATCCAGAGCTTGTTAGAGAAGATAAACATCGCATTGTACCTCTCTCCTCCTCTGGCATTGAGTTTTTCGTCAAATCTTCAGTTGAGGAACTAGCCATGCCATTCACAGCCAGATTCTTCTCACTAGAAGGAGTAAAGGAAGGAGATTCAAGTTTTCCCACCTCTTCAGGTGGCTTTATACTTTTCACTTCCGAAGCTGTACCAACTACAAGATCATTTGACATCGATCTATCCACATTTGCCTCCTCTGACACCCCAGTGTCCGTAAGAGATGAAGACTCAGCTCCTTGGTTTGATATATTTGCCTCAGTTTTATGCAACAATTCAGGTATCTTATTTTGAAAAGTTGACATAATTCTTTCTGAAACAATGGATATTTCTACCAAATTTGCTTTGTTTTCATTTACAGACGCACCAGATCCATTGGCCTCAATCACCACAGCCCTGTACAATCTTTTGATAGTTCCTGCTTCAGAGATTCTGGGTGAACCTGCAGACCTCGTTAACCTCTTTGTAGCAGCCATTTCTGCTGCCTGAGATATGCATAAGCCTCTCAAAGCCTGCTTTAAACTGGCAGGTTCAGAAATTCCAATCCCTGACATGTGAGATGGACCTACTCTGACTGGTYTTTTCATCGCACTCTTTCGCAAGGCATCTTTATCAACTTCACGTTGCTGGCCTGACCTCTTACGTAACGTCCTGATATCAATTGCCTGAAATAGACGATTAATGTCATCCTCTATGGAAAACCTTTTTCCTGTATCTAGCGTGTAGCTCGTCCCAGCTTTCCCAGAATCAAATTCTTCGGTTGATTCAACAATTTCAGAAGTGCTGGCTAATGTAGTCATCTTTTTGGGTATAAAACAATGGAGACAGAGAGAGAAGATATGGCCTTAAATATAACTGCTAACCCATTTCTAAGGAATCATTTCGAAGATAAAATGCGGATATCAGAAACTGTGCCAGATGTCCTCTGAAGCTATCTTCAACCGTACTCATTTGCTGAGTTGAACCCACCAGCAAATTTCTTCCAAGAATTTTCAACATCAAAATTCTGCAAGAATTGCAGTTCATGTTAGTAAACATTGATTATTGTAATGAAGTAATCACATCTCGGATCCAATATAATACAAAGGAACAATTAATCAAAACAATAAAAAATCATCAAGGAAAACTATGCTTGAAAGAAGATTACACTATCTGATAAAATCCACAATGAGAAGACAACAAGCATATCCGCACCAATAACTGTTTCGCTTAAAACCATGATTCGAGTATCAGGCAAGGCCATCAACTGTGACTTGAAGAAGAGTCGCGAGTGATCTTATCCTTGGATATACATTCGAGGTTTCACACGTTGCAGATAACCAATTGTGAACTCTTATCCATCAATTTTCAAAAATATATAGTAAAAGAGTGTACGCGAACAAAAGGAAATACCATCCCCACCCCATCTCCAAGCGTCAAGAAACGAGAACGCACACAAAACAAAGGTAAAAGAGGGATTAATTTCTTAGCATATTCAAATCAACAGCAGACATAAATTACGTTTAGCACGACCCCGGCAACTCATGCCATTCTATCTTCCACAACAAAACAATTATTCTCCAAAAACGTGGAAAAATTCATACAATTAGCCAAAATTTACCGCGAAACAATCAAACAAAAGCAACCCCACATCCCCCAGCCCAAAAAAAAAAAAGAACATAAATAAACAATAAGGATCGCAGAGCTTGCCTTCCTTAACGTCAGGAGGATCCGAGGCAGAGGAATCCGAAAATGGAAACGGAGAGAGCGAAGGATTGGATGAAAAAAGAGAGGGTTGGGGGGGAGAGATTTGGGATCGTTTTAGCGTTGGGGAAGTGAATGAGGAAAGAGAGGGAAAACGAACAGTAGCGAAAGAAAATCACGAGGAATATGAGACACCACGCCAACAGGAGCTATAGACGAGAGTCTACGACTCGACTCCACGACTGTGACTCTCTTTTCTTTTCCTTTTCCCACCTCCGAAAATGGCAGAGGAGAGAGAAACAAACAAAGCTATAGAGAGAGAGAGAATCGCGGGTTCCATCCGCGTGTTTGGGTTTCGAGCGGCGGTGAGGTTTTTGTGTGACACGTCGGACAGGGGTCCGCCCTGAATTCCTTTGGATGGATGACACTTTGATATTTTTCTACGTTACGAATTTTAAATTAAAAAGAAAAAGGTTTAAATACCGATTAAATAAATATTAATATAAATTCTGCGGCGGCAACAAAAGCAATGATCTTGGTCCGTTGTTTGGCCACCAAATATATATTTTTTTAAAAATTAGTCGACAAAATTCAAAAACTTTTTTTTGGAAAAACGTTCCTTCTTATGATTTTTTACAAACAAAAAAATAAAATAAAATTTAAACGTGGTTTTCAAGTATTATTAATTTTGAAGTGCTTATAGACCTTAACCCATGCTAGAAGTCAATTAGAAAGTTCAAAATATTCCATTAAAAACAGAATATTATATATATATATTTTGGAAAGGAGATAAATATATTTTACATGGAAGAAATTGCAAAATACAGGGTAAATTTTATTTTTTGTCCCCTGAGATTTTGAAATTGGTACCCCTAAAGTTTCAAAATGTATACTTTAGTTCTTGAGGTTTGAGAAAATATTCTACATGGTTCTTAGTATATTTGATAGTTAATTGACTAATGGTAATATGACGTAGAAGTTAAGTTGGTGAAACTTTGTTGAGTTGGCAAAATATATTATTTTTTGGTGCATATACTTTCTCTCGTCCCTTATCTCCTTCCTTTCCTCCCCCTCTTCCAACAAATTCTACCGTCGCTTTTCATTTTCCTCTTTATCAGTGTTATCATCGAAAGCTTTCACCAATCGTGCCAAAAATCCAGACCAACAACAAATCCATCTTAATGACAGGAAGTGAATGCAAGCAAGGAGGAAGATAGCAACGGGCAAAAACGCTCACAAGAAGAGAGGGAAGGAGCGGGAAAGAGATTCTACTTACAAACAAAATATATTACAATTCAATAAAGTCTCATTATAACCTAACTTCCACGTCTATCTTACAATTAGTCAACTAATGGTTAAAAGGAACTAAAAGACCGTCTAAAACATTTTTCTCAAACCTCAAGGACTAATTGCACCTTTTGAAGTCGTAAAGACCAAATAGACATCGACTCTAAATTTTAAAAACCAAAAGTATATATATATATATATATATATATATATATATATATATATATATAATTTTTTCTAAAACATACTATTTTCGAAGTATTTTGGTGTGGTTGTTGTCTATGTTTATTTTATCAATTTTATTTTATTGTCAAAAGGTGTGAAATTTGGAGTCAAAATTGGTATAGGAAAAAGGCAGGGGGATGCATAGGAAGTAAAGAAAAGGGGTGAAATAGAACAGTAAAATAAATAAATGTCCGTCTCCAATCTCCACAGTCCACAAGGGAAAGGGGCATGTCCCAAATCAAAATCAAAATTTTCAAGGCCTATTTATTTTGTAGGCATTCAATTGATTTCTTTTTCCCTTTTTTATTTTATTTTTTTATGTTGGAGTAGAGAATTGAATTTGAATTGAATTGAAGGGTGAAAAAAGAGACCTCACTCCAAACACGGCGCCCCAATTGATTGGATCAATGACCCTACTTTTTCACCCATTCTCTCTCCTTTCATTTAATGTACATATCATTTTACGTGTAATAACTTTTTTTATTTTCCAATTTATCCTCGTCATGTATATTTATTTACATGAATATAATTCAATTGTTGGATACAATATTTTTTTATTTATCTAAAAATGGGGGGTTAAAATAATATTTTTGGTGTCTTTATTTCTTTATTTTAGTTATTGTAGTTTCAAACGATATTTTTAAATTTTGTTCATTTTAATATTTGTAGCCTCGAAACGTTAGTTTTAGTTTCTATACTTTTAATAAAGTGACTATTTTGATCGTTTTTTTAATTTTTATATCATTAATTTCGATCATACTTTTAACATGACACTTCACACATTAAATTTTTTGAAATATAGCAGTAAATTTATGTTGGGGACTAAAATAATTTTTTTTTAAATACAGCGACTAAAATGAATGTTTTGAGAGTACAATGATTAAATTAAATAAAATTTTATACATAACGGAAACCATTTAGAAAGGTTACTACCTATTTGCAAAATTTTAACACAAATTATAAAATAATGGAAACTATTTAATATAAAATCCGTTGAAAAAAAAACTATTTAATATAAAATCATTGTTACATTTCAAAATTATATTGAGTGTAGTGTTGTATTGAAATTGTGATAAAAAAAATGAGATTAAAAATAAAATTAAGTGACCAAAATAATCACTTTTTAAAAGTATGTAAACCAAAACAAATATTTTGAAAGTACGAGAACTAAAATAAACCAAAGTTGAAAATATAAAAACTGAAATAAATATTTGAGAGTAGGTATACGAAATAAAGCTTGAAAGTATGGTGTCTAAAATAGTATTTTGACATAATAACTTATATAAATAAGTTTAATTTGTATTATTTTTAACTTTCAAAATAAAAGATTATTAGCAGCTAAGCTTGATTTTTTTAATATAAAAATTCAAAACTAATTCATTATTACACAGAAACTAATAGCGTATATAATTTTAGTAATGACTAATGAGATTAATAATCTTTGAATAATTATAAAACATTTATCACGCCGACTTTATTAATCATAATATTCAATTATAAATCTTTTGACTTGGCACAGTTAATGTCAGGTAAAGCTTTTAATTAACTATTGTCAAACGATACCACAACTTTCAATTTTTAGTTAAAATTTTAAATAAATCCATGAACAAAAAAAATCAAATTTACCCTAAACCTTTGCAAACTATATTAATTTTCACCCATAACTTTCAAATATTTATTAAATTTTAATTATCTTTGCAATTTTTACCATTTCGTTCCATTTTTCTTTTTCTAATTCACCTACTCATTTTAACAAAAAAAATTATATATATATAATACATTTATTTTACTTTATTTTTTGTTGTACTAAAAAAGACATTATTTTAGGTGAAAAAACCATTAAAAAGCTACAATTAAGTGTTTTAAAGTGTAACTCTACAAAACTTCAGTAAAGTTGGACTTTTGTTACTCTTCCATTGATAGAAACATTTGGTAATCTCGAATGAAATAAAATAAAAATTGAACCATAATACAATTCTAACAAAAAAACATAGAAACTAAAACTTACCTAAACATAATATAACTAATTATAACATCAATAACCTTCATTATAAATATAAAGGTTTGAGCAAAAGTAAATTTATGTTTTTTTAGATAAAAGTAAATTCATGTTTTTACTTTAAAAGAAGACTACAAACACATTATTATGTTAATACTAAGAATAAAACATCGAGCCATAACTGATAAAATACGAATACAAATATATATTTTAACATTTTGAACTATCATGAGTGATTCATTAGTCCAAAAAAACTAGAGTAAATTGAAAGAGAATGTGTTCAAACCTCATAATAGTCTCATATCTTAGGAATAAATTCATATATATTTCTCGACACCAAATATAATAGGGTCAAACGATTATCCCATGAGATTAGTTAAAGTGCACATAAATTGGTCCAAACGTCGCTCAAGGATATTTAAAATATATATATATATATATATATATATATATATATATATATATATATATATTAGCATTTGAAATTTATCATCACACATATTTGATTGGTTGATAAAATCTCAAGGAAACAAGTTAATAGAATTCTCCATGATTAGGTTTGAACTTTTAGTGGTTGGTCACATGGCAAGGATCACTCATTTTTCTTCCAAATATAAAAATAGTGATTCGGGTGTCATTTCAGGCATCATTACTTCTATCTACCACTTTGATTCGTGTACTTTTAATTTTCGTCTATCCACCTTTAGAATATTTCTTTTAATTTTTACTATTTTGATCCATTTAACTATTTTAGTCTTTATTTATAAATTTTAAAATAAATTTGAGACTTTGAAATTTTTTAATATAA